CAATCAGTGAGTCGCGATCCGGATCCAGACCGTCCATTCGGTGACTTTTGAATGCTGGGCGAAAGTGGGCAGTTCAGCCCTGGCGTGTGCCGAGAAGCCGGGTGTGTCGGTGCGCAGCGCTATCCCAAGCTGTCAGGAGGAGCCGTGGGAGTATGGAATCGCATCGAGACCGATTGCTTACATGCGCAGACGGGCCAGGATTGGTGCTTCAATTTGACGCTCTAACGCTATCTTGTTTGCATGGCATGATATTGATCTGCGCCGTGGTGGACCTCGATCTCTCGCTCCGCCTCGAGCCCCTCACCTGAGTCGAGATGCAGTGAGGGGCATGGTGTCAACTGTCACAGTTGTGGAGGATCAACATCAGGGGGCGACGGTTTACACCTCCAGCATGGCGACACTGCGTTTTGATGTGCAATGAACTACGGCGTCTATCTGGCCAGTATTGAGAGACACAAGATTGCATTCGCCAATGGCTCAGTCATTGTTCGCCCAATGGCGAAACATGCTCTGGTTCCGGGACCCGACGGGGTGCGACATTCGGAGTGGCAGGCCGTTGATCTTCACGGCCGCAGCCGGGCACGGTCCTTATCAGATCGGATAGCGTTGCCCTTCCGGCTACGGCACAACCCTTTGTTGGGAACTTTGTCTTCTCCCATCATTTCCCATCGTACGGCTCTCATCTCGATCTCGTCCAGTTTTCCGAGGCAGATAACCGTCTTTGCAACCTCCGTCTTACGCAGCCAATTTCGCCATGGAGGGGTAACAATTTCGAAGCGGAAGGTGCTTCATAATCACCGCCTTCGCATGCAATGAGTGTTTGTCCATAACGATGATACGGCGTCGCATTGCATTCTTCCTGCACCATTATGTAAGTGCTCTCTCTCTGCGCGGTATGGTTCCGATAACTTTGCAGCGCGTTCAGATGGACTTTTGTCTGTTCTAGGCAAAAGCATGCGAAGGGATATCCTTGCCAATCCGAAAATTCGATAGCGGTCGCTACCCTTGCATTATATGAGACGAGACTCTCATCAGAGAAGAGCGACGCAACGGACTGCAAGGTAACCCGGCATCGCGCAACGGCCTGGCCTCCTGTTTGCCGTCGCCTTGTTGGTTGTCTTGGGCCCCTCCCCTCGGTCGTGCAGTAGCGCTGGTCCGGTCTCTGCAGCATGCAGGCGCAGCTGCATGGAGCTTGTCGGCCAATCGAGCTGGCCGGTTTTCGTTATTCGTTACCATCCTCTTGTTTCGTCGTCCCACATCCGCTGCTCGTTCGTCGGTCATGATCGTCGACTGTGTTTCCGCGGGTTAAGAATCATGTCCAGTACATACCTAACTCTACTGTAGGATTGCGAAGCGCTAGCGCTGGGTGTACCGGTATGCGCGAGTCCGGCCCCGGCTGCGCTTCACCGGGTGGGGTGCGCCAACGTAGGATGCCGTCCATTATTACGGGCTGCAGCCGGTGAGGTGGTGCTCTGGTATCTGGGAGGAGCAAAGAAGGGCAGTGCCGTTACGCCTGTTCAACCCGTGCCCGTTTCGTGCCCGTCCGCGGTGTAGCACAGGTGAGATGCCCGTGGTTCAGACCTCACGTCTACGGACTCGAGATTTGCCATCTCATTTCCGATTCCCGAATCCCATGAGCCACGATGTGGTCTCTCGGTGTCCTCCCGAGAGAGCTTCCGATGGCCCAGCGGCCGGCGCCCGCGGGCTTACGATGTGGTGTGCCACCGTGTGCAAGGGAGCCTCTTCTCTCCGTGTATGTACGGATGTACAACTGGATACAACACGCCCTTCCTGCCGGCGAGTAGCCGCCTCGCACCCCTCCCCCATCACGATGGTTTGAAACGGTCATATACCATCGGGCCACTGGTAATGAGATTGCCTCTCATAACCTTCCTCCTTCAGCAAGTCTCCACACACCCTTATATCGTGCATAGCACACGGCTGGGTCTGGACAATAAACGACGACTCCTATCTCTCACACTATCTCATATCTTATGGTATACGAAGTAGGTCTCGCTTCGTCGGTATATTGACCAGCCCCAGACAGCCCGCTCCCGTCAGCGGGGAGGAGGCCGTTAGCTACTTACCTAATTTGCAGCGTTGCGCATGCATGCATCACTGGCATTGCTGCTGCGGTCCTGCAGAGCCCCTTGAGCTGGGGAAGTTCCGTTGTGTGAGCGGGTCGTACACACCTACCTACCTAACTGATCGGGGCGGATCGCTGGGTCCTCCGCACACGACGACGATGCCTCCGATGCTGACGCCCATCAATCCAGGGTCTCTTACTGTGTGTAATGTCGTTCTTGCCATCCGATCCAATCTCGTTGTCCACGTGCCTCATCCTGAGGTTGTTGAAAGGCACCTTTTGGACTCTCGGTGTAAATGTAAGGGTCCTTGGGGTGCACAGCCAAGGCAAGGAGGGCTACCTTACTCTTTTCGTGGATCTTGTCGCATGAGGGACAATTTCCCAAGAGAGAGAGACCAGAGGCTCCCTGTCTCCGCCGCCCTTGGCCGAGGGGTAGCAAGGCGTCTCTCCATCATCGAAGCTGCCAATGAGACACAGTCCGGGACTGTTACCTCGGGCTGTCACCAACGATCAGGCAGGTGGTGTCGAGGGTGTGTACTGTAGTAGTTTGAGGCGCGAATTCAAGAACGGTCTAGCCCAAGCCAGCGCCCGGGGTGGCGAGGACGGTCTCTCACCGGTAGGTAGGTGTCCTGCTAGCACTAATTTGATGCAACGAGATGCCGGGCCTTGGGCTGCTTCCCCCGGGTGCGGGGAGCAGAGAGAAAGGGTCGGCACTGTGTCACCGGCTTGTAGCGCTCAAGGTATACTACCGATGGGGGTTGGGTCTAGATGAAGTGGCTGACAAAGAGGCGATAGGGACGTGTTCTAATCACTATCAACGTTACGAACCGAGACCCTCCCTGCGGGCAGACTCGATGATTCTCCGCCAACCGACTCTGAGATGGGTGGCTGCCGTAACCTCGCCCCGTCTCTGGCGGCGATAATGATTGCAGTTTTCCGATGGTTGTCTGGCTCGCTGGAACTATCGAGTGCAACGGAAGAGGTTTGGCACTGTGCAGTTGAGTACAGGTACGATACGTCCTTCGGGTTCACACATTGGGCTTGCCTAGCCAGCGGTTTTGATAAATACCTGACTTGATTTCCTGATGCAGGGTCTTTGTGGCACCAGAGACCAGCGGTATGCATGGCAACCGCGGCCTCCATGGATAATACGGAGTTCAGGGATCTTGAGCCTGCCGGTCCTTGACCATCCGTTATCAGGACTGAGGGCCTTCATTGAACCGGACATGCTTCTCCCTCACTTGCGAATCACCGCTGTCGGTTGCCGCTACTGTAAGTATGTTGGCAAAGTATACTAGTAGTAGTAACCATATCTACGCTTTCCTTGCTACGGGACGCATGTATACGATGCCGGCTCTCCGCAACATTCAGTAGCATGTAGTTCATTACAAGACAACCGATTTACATTTGATACAAGACAACCACATGCACCACCTGTTGTCAGGTCCAAGTCATCCTTGTACGAAGCTCAACACATTACGCTATTTTGCCTATTATATGTAACACTGTTTATCCCATGCTAGTGACTGCTGAATACTAGAGATCAGCTGTCGTACTATGACGACGGTCGAGGCACAGCGGAGAGGATGTTCAGCACAGGACAGAATTCTGTAACATCCGTGCCCAAGTGTACGAGGTCAAGGTCAGTCAGTAGGATCAATGCCCTTCTTACGTAACCGCACATGCAGTTAGTTGAGAGTCGCTCGAACACTCTGCGTCACTACCATACACTACTCAGGTCGCCAAAGAACGCTTTAAGGTTATCGGTTGCCACATGCTTTACCACAACATGCTTGCCATCCGTGAATGTCATCGAAATCCAGGCCCCTCAACATTGATAAACTGGATCAGCGAAGTTTTACGTACACATATCAGGGGCTGCCCAACGGTTCTGCAAGGCGCCGATCACCGTTTGTCGATCATGACTACTGGGGGACGAAATATAATGTATGATAAGAATCTCCTACACCAAGACTAAGGTAGACCCAGTCTGGAAAAGCGTGATACAATAACGATGATGGATGTTGCGTGGTGGATTTTGCTTACACATGTAAAGATGTGGTAAACGCTATCACGTAAGGGAATTGCAGGGGTGGACCGATACTCTGAAATGAAGAGATTCTGGCCGTATTCGAATCACGACGACATCAGGCAGCATGTCATGATGACATGTCGGACTAGGTCCTTCGGTGCAGCCGGCAACATAGCAGAGCTTCGAACTCGCATTAGCTGCCCTCGATGTCATCAGCACAAGACGGATCCTAGTACCGTCCTGCTGTCTGAACTCCGGAGTCGAAAACCAGGACATACCTCTTATTCAATGGCTCTCAGCTAATGTAGGCATGAAAAGGCAGCAGGAAATCAGCAGATTGTGACTCTGCCCAATACATTGCTGACAGACGTATCTGAGTCTCTTAGTGAAATGGAGTTACAAAACCATCCGCCGCAAACAAATGCAATAATATATGGATGCAGTACCTAATCGACGCCAAAAACATAACAACACCTCCTCGGTACCCATATTAGATAGCCCCAAGTATAGCAGTGTCCTGGTAGGTAAAATAACAAGATTATCAACCGCAAAACAAAATGCACAACATAATTGCAGTAATCAATGCCAAAGCAATACCATCAACACACCTCAACAACACCTCCTCCCCCTAAAACCCCCTGACCATGCCCATAACTCCCAGCAGCTCTCCCCTTACTACCTATACCTGCCATACTCAGACCAACCTGAACCCCCCCGCTTATTAGAACTCAACCCTCCCGGACGCCTTTCCCATGCTCACTTCATCATCATCATCGGAATCATCATCCACCCTCTTTCTAAAACAAAACAACCCCACGGTAAACCTGTAGTACACCAAAACCGTCCTTGATTAGCATCACCATCCACTCTTCAACACGCTTTTCACCTATGCTATGTTGCGTGTGTGACAGTAAAGGGGGTGAAAGGAAAAGAATAGGGGTGGTATGACGCACCAGGAATCCATGCTTGGTGTAAGTAGTACTAGTGTGTATGTATTGTAAAGTGCTATACGCCTACCGTCTCATACCCGTCCCTGTCCCGAGCGACGTACCCCGTCCTCCACCCGCGGACCCGGTGCTTGTGCCGCCGGGTTTCTTGTTCGCCGCCGAAGAAGAAGAAAGTGCTGCTCCTGAAGACGATGATGCGGTGATGGCTTGTCTCTTGGTCGTGTCCGAGCGCGAGCTGCTGGAGCTAGCAGTAGTAGTACTAGCTTTAGGAGCGTGCGAGGACGACGATGTCGATGTCGATGGCTTGGTCGATGAGACTGGGGTGCGGGGGGTTGGGGTGGTAGACCGGTGGTGACCGCCGCCGCCGCCGCCGCTGCCGCTGACTTTGGGAGGAGCATGAGCGGGTGAGCGAGGCTGCTGATGACCCCCCGAGGAGGAGGAGGAAGAGGAAGAAAAGGAGGAGAGGTAGGCGCCAAACACAGTCCGCAGCATGTCCCGCTCGCCCTTGGTGTCGTAGCCCAGCTCCTTGCCCTTGTTGTAGAAGTCGAGCACGGTGACCTGGGTGGCCGTCTTCTCGTACTTGCCCGTCTTGCGATAGACGTCAAACTGGACCGGGAAGACAACTGTCATGGGCGTGCGGAACAGCGCGCCGGGGTCCGACTTGTTGTGCCTACGGTACTGCTCCAGGAATTCCTTCACCAGGTTGGCGTCCTCAAACCCGACGATCATGGTCAGGTGCGCGGCGAGCCTTTCTCGCTCATCGGGGCGCGGGTTGAACTGGGCCAGCCACTCGAACATGATCTCGTGCGACATGTCGTGCGGGCCGTCGGACCCCAGCAGCTGCAGGCCGCGGAAGGGCTTGTTGTACGGGTCGAGCAGGGCGAGCAGCGTGCTCTTGATGCTCGGCTCGCGCACGAGCGTGTGGCGCGACCAGAACATGGCGACGCGCGTGCGGCGCAGGGCGTACAGCGGCCAGTCAACCGGGTCGCCGTTGACGTCCTCGCGGATGTTCCTGACGTCCGGCGGCGTGCCCTTGTAGGCCGCGGCGGCCGACAGCACGGTGGAGCAGTAGATCTCGTCGACCTTCTCCTCCTTGAGCGCGAACACGGCCAGGTCCTTGCTGTTGGCCACGCGATCGGACTGCAGGAACTCGCGCACCGTGTAGTGCGCCAGGTCGACATAGGACTCGCCCTTGCTTTCGCCGGGCTGCACCTTGATCAGGCAGCTGCAGAAGCGCCGGAGCATTTCGATGGTCAGCAGGCTCTGGCTCTGGCTCCGGCTGCTGCTCGTCGTGGACTTGTTGTTCTGCCAGCTGGCGACGGCGTCGACGAGCGTCTGGCCGCGCACGGGCCCCGTATGGTCGTGCGAGCCCATGATGAAGGCCAGCGCGAGGGCGGCGTTGGCGCGGTGGGGGGCTTTGATCTTGAGCAGGATGCGCTCGTACGTCTCGTCGAGCGACTCGGGCAGCCGGCTGAGCTCCCTGCTCACATCATCCGTGCTGGTGCAGTCGCCCAGGATCTCGAGATGGCACGCCGCGTACCGAAACATGCCGCGGGCCTTGACGGGGAGCTTGCCGGCGACGCTGTCCCGCAGGGCGGCGGGCCAGTGCCGGTAGCGGGTGTCCTGCTGCAGCGCGGACGCCACGTACGCGCGAATGTCCTCGCTTACGCCCTCGTTGGACATGGACACGCCCACGGACCGCTTGTGGAAGGCCTCCACGATGTCGCTTTCCTCGCGGCTTGTGACGGCGAGGTGCAGGTTGTGGAAGCGCTTGCCGAGCTCCGCGAGCACGCGCAGCAGGTTGGCGCGCTCGCTGGTCTCGTCGACGGCGTCCACGACAATGTAGGCGTCGTCGAACTTCGTCAGCACGGCCGCGAGGCAGTCGAGCAGTTCGCGCCATGTCGGCTCGCAGCCCGAGTCGTGGATCTCCTTGAGTGTCTCCGGGATGTAATTGGACGCGCGGCACAGCTGGCTCAGCACCCAGGTCAGGAACGGCACCGTCTCGTCCGTGTTGCGCTGGTGGTAGCAGTAGTAGTAGGCCACGCCCTGTTTCTTCCCGTGCTGGGTCTTCTCGTGCCGCGCCCGCCGGCGGAGCTCCTCGACCATGTAGTACGACAACACCGTCTTGCCGGCGCCCGGGATGCCGTGCACCCACAGGATGCGCGACTGGGCCTGCCCCAAGAGCCAATCACGCCACTTGGCCGACTTCGTCAGCCACTGGCACGTCTCGCTCTCGTACAGCAGCCCCGCGTGGTTGTGGTTGACCGACGGGTTGATCTTCTCGAGCCACTTGTACAGCTCGGCCTCCTCGACGTGGCTCAGGTGCTTCTTGACGTCGCGGATGTCGTCGGCCATCTGCCGCACGTCGCGGCTCAGCTCCGTCGTCAGCCCCAGCGACAGCGTGGCCTTCTGCTCCCGCAGCGCCTTGAGCAGAAAGTCGCACTGGCCCTTCTTGCCCGACGCCGCCCACGTCACCGCGTTGAAGATCAGCTTGGCCCGGTCCTTGGCGCGCTTCCTGCTGTCGCCGTCCGCCGCGTCTTTCATCGGCGTCGGCACCAGCGCCAGCAGCCTCTTCAGGCAGCCGTCAACCTCGTGCGCCGGCCCGCCGACCTGCCGAAGCAGCCGCTCGTTCGTCGCCTTGTCGCTGAGATCGAGGATGTCCTTCACCGTCCTCAGCGTCGCCTCCAGGCTGGCCGCCTCCACCATGATCAGCTTCAGGTCGTTCGGGCAGTCGTCCTTGGCCACCCCGATGTACCACTTGCAGTTGCTGTACAGCTGCATCGCGAACCCCGTCAGCGTCGCGAACGTGGACGCCGTCGCGAGGAACTCCATGTTGGCGGGTGGAGCTAGACTGGTCGAGTAGGTTGGATGGAGGTGGACGGGGAAAGTAGGTAGGTAATGTGCAGACTGTTATTACTAGGAAAAATGAAAGTCAATATTAAGTTTCAGTACTCAATGCTATATGCATCCAATCCTGGGCAATATCAGCTGGGCGCGGCTGCGAGGGCTGCGTGGTCTTTAATAATTTCGTGCCACACAGCGACAATGATGCTCACGATACCCTCATAATCCGCGCTAACTGCCCATGTTGGGATGTTGGCCGCATCTCGTAGACGACGCCCTGTTCAGTTGAAAACTTGAAACGGAGGGTCCAGACCGCCGAGGCAGCCGCCCGCCCTGGTACCTCACCCAAGCCTGTCCGAACCGAATTACTCATAATCCGCCGAAACCTCTGTACGGGTGAGTTACGAGCACGTTTTGGCCTTTCTCTCTCGGGCTCACTGAGGGAGGCGTGATAACAGTGTAAGAACTAGTAAGAACCATGTGTGTCGGGGCTCGGGGGTTGTCGTGAGACGGCTCCACTGAACCCCAACCCTCGCGAGGGCGGCTCAGGAAGGAGCGACCTAGTAAGCGCCTGGGCGGCACAGGATCCGATTCATTCACAGACATTGGTGCGTTCTTTCCTCATTCCTTTCATTCGTTTCGGCAGTTTGGGCTCGATAGTGGAGACGAGCGTTGGTTGCTATTTTGGTATGTACGTAATTCCTTGGGGTGTTTTGATCCTACAATCCACTTCAACCCGCTTGTTGGAGGCTTGGAGCCCGAGGAGCCCCATTTCCCTGGGCAAGCACGGCAAGCTACGGATACGGAGTTTACAAAGTTGCCATGGCTCCGCCCAACGGTCCCGACATGCTGGATCTGATACGTAAGATCTTCGCACTAAGACGTTCGCCCGAGCTCCGGTTCCCTGATACCCCTGTCACGATGTCTTGACGCAGCAGGTCCAGACCACTTCGAAGATGGATCAAGCTTTCTTTAGGCCATGTAAAGTGGGAACAAGCCGAAGTTAACCAGTGCCGGTATACAAGGGCTCCCTGTCCTCGTCATATCCGCCTCTGGTTCCTTCTTCGGATTTGCTTCTTGCCGCATGGTTCTGGACTGGTTCGTTTGTGTAAGACACTGTAAGTCGAGTGCGGTGTATACAGCATCTATCAGAACAGTTCCAGACAGATCTAACATGGATACCGCGTTGAGAGGACATGCCGGACTTCAGGGGCGTTTGCCCCCTTCATGCCTGATGGTTACCGCAGGGTGCCAATATGTCGCAGCAAGAATGAGTTCCTTTAGGATCTGAGAGACCCAAAAAGGGTCCCTCGGACAGAGATGCTTCCCGAGCCGGAATCTTCACATGCTAGTAATGATGAACCCACTCGGACGACAGTCATTCTTATATGAGCCCAAGTTCATACTCTGATCGTCGTCGGACCGAGAACTATCATGGGGAGACTTTAACCACACACTGATCCCTTTCCTGCACAGCGCCGAGTCTCTTGTGCGTTGTCTCACCGTCCTCTCACGTAGCTCATTACCTTACATAAGGTACACAATCCTGCTACAAAACTTCATCGGGGAACCGTTATCAGGTATGAAGTCGCAGCGTCCGCACGAAAAGACAAATCATTGTTGATTGAGAGTCGCTGCAAGAATATGGCCCTATGCGGTCAGCGGTCCATGCAAGGGGCAAGCGAGGAGGCCGTCAATTCTCCGCTCAGAGAGATACGCGAACCGGCCTTTCATTTTGTGGATGAGTAGTATGTTGAACCACCAAAGACCTTCGTGGTCTTTATGTTCAGTATGGCTTAGGTGAGCACATCACCTTCTTACCCTCTTCATCAATCACTATTCAGGCCACCTTCATGCCTCTGAACTCTCTGCACACCGCAACATAGTAATTGTTGACATCCCCGACGTTCGACTATGTCGTCCCGCCTCAGTTCTTGGACTGGTTTCGTCGTCGGTGGTGCCCAATTGCCGATGCTCGAGCTCTGGTCGTCGACCAGTCCCGGCTGAGCTTCAGGCATTGGATAATACCGTATGCACATCATTCTCAATGTCTTATCATCACGACAGGTATGTTTTCCACCCGCCGGGCCGCGCCCAAAACATCCCGACCTGAGAGCGCCGAATCCGCTAATCTGCCGCGTTTGATCCCCTGTTACTGTGTATTTGACTGAATACTACCTATGTTGGTACTAAGTAGGTAGGTAGTTATACCCTCCTTAATCAAGACCTTATATGTTCCCGAAGGTCGGCGGGCAACGGAGTCTAGTCCGATGCTAGGTATCTCCGTATTAGATTACTAGAGTACGGTATGCTGACGCGGGGGCAAGCCCAATCGCAACGCAAAGACGGAACAAAATGGTGGGACGTACTACTCATTTACTAAGATCTAGCGCTAGTATCTCAGGAGTATTTTATAAACCGCCGCCACCCCCCCGCCCCCCCCCTCTTCCCCTTTTTACCATCCCAAGCCCCTCATCCCCTCAAGCAAGCTCGCACTCAATGATACTCTCCACGCCGTTCTGGGCGGTGTAGATGCCCGTGATGCGCAGGCCGGCCTGGTCCTGCAGCAGGCTGTACCAGTCGGCCTCGGTGCGCTCGCGCGAGCTGAGCAGGGTCAGCATCATGATGTCGAGCGCGGTGGCCTCCCACTGGGCGCGCGACGGCGGGATCACGTTCTCGTTGATCAGCAGGCGCGAGTAACCGGGCACCATGGCCTCCTTGACGCGCGCCAGGATCTTGACGCACTCGCTGTCCGGCCAGTCGTGCAGCGCTGAGTGCATGTAGTACGCGCGGGCGCCTGTGGTTTTTTTGTGTCAACTTTGTTTTCTTCTTCTTCTTGCTAGGTGTGATTTGTCGTTGTAGAATAGTTGAGTTGGCCGGGGTAGGGAAAGAGAAGGAAAAGAGGAAAAAAAAAAAAAAGGAAAACTCACCCTTGACTGGCTGCTCATCATAAAAGTTGTACGCCACCCTCTCGATCCTCCCATCCAGCCCGCGAGCCTCGGCCTGCTCGATAACAGGCCCCAGGTCCTCCAGCACGAGGCGGCCGGGGGCATGCGGCACCTTGCGGCGGAATTCGTCCAGGTCGTGGCCGACACCGCCCGCAATGTCCACCAAGAAAGCGGCATCCGGGGTTTGCCGAGCACCCTGGATCAGGCGCTCGTCGACCGGGTAGAAGCCCTTGTCCATCCACGAGGGGCGGCCCTGGCGGTAGCCGCCCATGTGGTGGTTGAACTGCTCGCCGTAGGGTGGGTGGGCCATGAGGTGCTCAAACATGTTGAGCTGCGTGTTGTAGGCGTACTGCAGGGGTCCGTCCGAGATGCTGTTGGGCGTCTTGTAGTTGGTCTTGGCCGCGTACTCCGGGAACTTGCACAGTGCCGCCATCAGGCAGCCGGAGCTGTGAAAAAGGGCAGAGAGCAGCTGTTAGCGGTGTGTCTAGAAAAAAAAAAAAAAAAGAAGAAAAGGACAAAGAGAGAACTCGGAGAGGGGAGGGGAGGGTGATAATTTACATGCACGTGTAACCATCCCCGATGACGGGGATGCTCAGCGAGCTGGAGAAGTTGGTCGGCTTGTACTCGTCCGGTCCGGTCTCGATGATGTAGCCCATGGCCGCCATGTGGCGCATCAGCCGGCCTGAGAGAGGGCATGTCAGCGAGACAATTGCTCTAGACCGAAGAACAAGTAGATACCATCTAGGACTTCACTAGGTACTTACAGAGCAAGGGGGGGTCCATGCCCAGCTTCGCAGCGAGCTGGTTCGCATTCTTCGCGCACCCGCCGTCTTCGGCCAGGAGGGTGAACAGGCCGACGTCAATGCCTGTCGAGAGCGCGGCCATGGCGGACGGCTGTGCCCAGCAGTGCTTGATCATGGTCTCGCGCGGCGTCTCCAGCGCGCGCACCAGCGACCGCGCCTTCTCGACCAGCTCGAGCCGCGCCTGCTCGCTGCCCGCGGCGGCCTTCTCGGCCACGGCGTTGATGTCCTGCACCAGGCCCGGCACGCTCTTCAGATCGTTGGGGGCCAGTGCCACCGAGATGTCGACCGCGGGCGTCTTATTATTAGACCTCAAGCTGGTGCGCCCGTCGGCAGAAGAAGAAGCATGGCCGTTGTTGCCGTTGGCATGGCCGTTTGTCCCGCTTGTTGTTCCGGTCATGGCTACGGCTTTGCTCGCGGAGGGTCGTACTGAAGAAGGGCAGGCAGGTATCACAACAGACAGAAAGAAGAAAAGCTTGGATGATTTTACTGAACTTGCTTGCTGTGCCAGAACGGACGGCACGGCTCTTTGCCCGGCCGAGGCATGTTGAGTTATGAACCCCCCTTTTGCATCCCCGGACCCCTGACGCCACTCGCCGTTCCCCCTCGCTTCTTCTGCAGCTCGAGACCGTGTGGGAAAAAGATGCTCGCTACCAAGCACGGGGTCAAACTGGGGGCTTTTCTCCGGTCTTCGCCAGAACCGCGCATGAGCTGCAACACTATGCGGGGGTGGATGTCAACAATCGGCGGAATCTCAGGGGGAGAGTTGATAGTGCGGTCCTCTAAAGCGCTCTAAAGCTGCAGAGCAAAGGGCCTAGTGGCGTCGCGGGGGGGGGGGGGGGGGGGGGCGCCACAGGGGATCCTGATGGCTTAACGTCCATGCATGCGTCTATCGCAATGCGCCAAGTCTCCGTCTCGCGTCTCTATTCGGTCGGCACTAAGATCAGCATGCTGTTGGTGATGTTGTGCATCGGGACAAGAGCGACCCTTGGAATCCTCCTCGGAGTCTTCCCATAAACGACCACGGACTACCACCGGGCCATAATGTGCAGTCGTGTACATACTGTGTGGTATTCGTACACCATGTACTGGACGTTGGGGTTCATGGTCCACAAGTGCCGTATAACGAACACTGTGTTGGCCGAGGAGTTCTGACGGAATGTAACCAGTGTCCGAGCGAGTGGCTCGCTCTGTTTTGTTCGTACAGTAGCAGAGTTGTGGTCTTGCCCATATCCAGTAACTGGCGAGACTGGCAACCGCAGCCCCTGCTACGCTAGCCTCAACTAGGCGTCTTGAGCCCTTGACCAAGTTGCAGTGCCAAGACCAGCCCGGGGAGCCTCTTAGTCGCTCTTAGTCACTTTGGTGGCATCGGGGATGCAGGAGATGGCGCCCCGGCCAACGGCGGTCTGCAGCCATCCGGCACATTGCTACACAGTCCTAGTGTATACGTACTAGGTAGTACTACCTACCACTGCCTCCACAAGCCGGAAGGGGAGCGAAATGCGAAGATTCAAGAAGTCTTGCCATCCAAGCCCTGGCAGCAATAATCGATACAGAAAATCGATGCACCCCCAAACCAATTCATCACGACTAGGTCAAAACAGATGCAAATCGAACACTTCTCCTGTTCTAATGTCTAGATCAAACTATGATGGAAAACAAGTAGGAGCTCGATGTTGTTGAAGTGAAGTAGAATTATAGCGACTGGCTTAGTGTCGTAGTGTTCTGAACAATCGTGTTTCCTGTATCGATTAGTTATTGCTGCCAGGGCGTGCCGTCATGTAGTGAGAAGAGGACTTTCTTGCGGACCTGCTGATGCGCGGTCCTTGTGCAATACACTAGCCTCCTTCCGCAAGGGGTCCCTGTAACCCGACGATCTCTATGCACACCAACGGCGCCAGCCCTCGGCCAAGGCCCATTGTGCTGGGTCGGTGGCGTCCCCGTGGCTTCGGTTTCGTGGTCCCAAACCCTTGGAAGATTCGCAGAAGGCTGCTGATAGTTCATTTGCCTCACTTTGACATTCTTGCGCGGGACTGTGGAACTAGTGTGTATCTTATTTTGTGATTCAACCGGCCGAGGGAGCCAACCCCCTATACCTGCGCAAGTACAGTGGTTGATCTACAACCCCTGCATGCACCGTAGCAATTGTTTTCCTTCTGAATCTGCAGTGCGTTTCGACTCCCCCGTTGATGGTAACCAGGTAACGATTGGACCCTTGGTTCCGGGGTCCGAGTCCAGCAGAGGGGGGTCCGAGGGGGGCCATGGGATTGGGGGCCATGGATGATGGGGGTTGCGATCAGCAAAAGCAAAGCCTTGAACTTCCCACCACCGCTGCCAGGTTCCAACCGTTCAAACGGACAGTTTTCTCCCCTCGACACCCCCAGCGCATCAACAACGCCAGATGTGGGCTCTCTCGCTCTCTGCAGTCCGTTTGTGTCTCCAGCCGTTGTCATAATGTCTTCAGCTGCGCCCTTGCCGGCGCACTTGGCCGCCGAAGACAAAGGCCCCGGCATAATCGCGACAATATGCGTGGTCACGGTGTTGGAGACGTTGTTCTGCGCCGCCCGTATCTACACCAGAGGCCGCATCCTAGGTCGCCTGCATCTGGATGATTATCTTGTCATGCTCTCGGTGGTGAGTTACCCATCCAAACTTGCAGTTTCGCCTATCCTTTTCTGTTTTCTTTCTTTTCTTTCTGGTCTGTATTTTGAGTCCCGTTGTCTGATAATAAGAGTCAGGTCATGGGCTGGGCGTCCGTCACCTTCTCCATCATGGCCGTGCGGTCGGGCAACGGCAAGCACTTCGACATCCTCACGACAGAGCAGAAGTCCGGGGCGATCTTGTGGACCATGGTCGGCTTCTGTCCCGGTATTCTATCGTTTGGCATCCCGAAACTGGCCGTGATCGCCCTGCTATCGCGGCTTATGAACCCGAGCCGGAAGCATCGGATTTTCCTATGGACGCTGGGCATCGTCTGCGTGCTCAGCCTGCTGGGCTGCGTGGTGGTGCTGTTCGGTCGGTGCACGCCGTCCCGGTCGCTGTGGGACTTCGACGTAGCCCCCGAGAGCTGTTTCGACGTCTGGATCTTGGTCAACTACGCCATCTATGCCGGCACCTTCTCCGCCTTTACGGACTTGTACCTTGCCGTCTACCCGGCCATCGTGCTTTTTAGTCTCCGGATGAACATGAGGAAGAAGCTTGCGCTGAGCGGCGCGCTCGGCGTGGGATCCATGTATGGAGTCTCTTTTCCTCTCATCTGAGAAGAACCGAATCTTTTCCTTGTCCCGCGTCAGTATCCTGACATCCATTGTGTAGTGCCACCATTGTCGCCATCTACAAGACGACTCGCCTTCCGGGCCTGGCCAGCCCGGACTTCTCCTACGACACCTCCGACCTCGTCGTCTGGACCGCGTGAGTTCAAAAACGCTCGGCAGCTTCCATATCATATCATACTGACCATTCCTTCTCTGCCGGACACAGCGTCGAAGGCGCAACCATCATCATCGCATCCTGCATCCCCGTGCTCCAACCGTTCGTCGACAAGGTCGTCAGCTCGCGCATCTTCGGCAGCTTCTCAGGCACCCGCGGGGGGCGCGGCGGCTACCACCAGAACAACAGCTCCGGCCCCAACAGCAAGGGCGACTACTACTACCACGGCCGGTCCGGCGGCCACGTGACCACCAGCGGCGGCGGCGGCGGTATCGAGCTATCGCGCAGCTCGCACAAGCGCTCCGCCGTCAAGGATCCCAACAGCCTGACCTTCCTTGACGAGACGCGCGCCGGAAGCGAGGAGAGCATCCTCAAGAACAACGGCCAGCCCGAGCCGCTGGCCGCCGTGCCTGAGTACGAGAGCAACAACAACAGCAACAACAACAGGAGCGAGAGGGCGGCGACGTTCGGCGGTGGCGAAGGGAGCAGCAGCATCGAACTGCAGGCCCCGTCTCCAACAGCGACAGTAGGGGCCAATGCGGGAATTGTCAGGACCACGGTCGTCTCGGTCTCGTACGGCGGCCAGGAAGCGTCCGAGGATCACAACACCGGTAGGACCAGGTGGGAGGCGCGCGGGCCTGGGTCCGGGAGGTAGGTAAGGTAGGGGATGGGAAGGGCGCGGCAGTGAGGTGTTTCGTGATTTTCGTTTTGGTTGGCGTACACGTATATACCATTTTCGTTTTTTCCTTGCTTTTTTCTTTTTCGTTTGTTCATCTTCTGCAAAAGGCGCGACCGGGGATTTTGTCGAGTCGAAGCGGGGGCTTCTTCTCGTCCTGGCACCAGATCGGGTGATTAGAGTAATCAAAGGCTTGCAAGAAGGAAGGAGCGAATGAACACCATGCTGCCTACGACGGTCTATATAGGCACCTACATGTACATGTACTGTACATACAAGGGGCGTGGCCTCACCATATTGTGTCCCTGTACCAAGTCAACCTTGCCAAATTCTTGTACAATTAAGTTGAAACTTGTTAGAAAGTAAATGGTGCTCGGGAAGCTACCTCTTCTATAACACTACTAGGCCCGTTGGTTGTCAATAACCTACGTCAATCTAGGGTGCGTCCGGTGCTACTGATCCTCCCCGGGCGTCACAAGTGGGGTGTGTAGAAACGAAGGAGTCCGGCTAGTCTCCCGAGTTGTGAGCACATTCTTCAGTCCAGGTGGCCTCGGTGCGAACCGGTATAAATGTAAGGATGCGGAGGGCAGAGAGTGTAATGGTAATGAATAAGGTGAAGAACTAGATGTTCCATGAAGCCAGAGATATGTCTTACATGTGGAAGAGCTTGAATAGAACAATGAAAATGAACGCAACAAGGGCCTCGGATGTTCAATGCGAACTCCTAGCGAAGGTACGATTACTACAGTACTACTAACCAGCCCAGTCAGTGGGTTAAATATGCATTGCACGAAAAGGGGATGCTAGCGACAGATCAGCTAAGACCCTCTTTCTCCCCTTACTGACTTGGTTGTCGAAACAGGATAGAGAGCGTGGAATTCTTTATCGAGGCGGAGATGGATCATCAACAGTAATGGTACCATGGAAACCACCGACTCAGTACCTAACCACAGAACCCGAGCAGACGACTACCGTATGGCGCAACGGCAACCGCCAGTGCGGCGGCGCATCGTCCAACTACAAGGCCAGCTGCTTTCACCCTGGGCGACCAAGGTCTGAGCGTTACCACCATTGTCGACGCCTGCCGAGGTCAGCTTTCCCCACTTGTTCTTCTCTTTTGCCCCAGCGATGGGTGCAGATAATGATATTCTCTTCTGGATGACTCTGGTCTTTGCGTACGCGGGCCAGATGGAGAGATTAGAGGAGCTCAGAGGAGACTGGGCGACTAGGATGGGGTTTATACATAGTGTAAAAACATCTTTGGTAAGTCAAAATGGACGTCGAATTGACAATTGTCCGCAGTCATACCATGTAGTACGTCTATATTCCCGGCGCGAATGAAGTTGGCCACTATGCATGTCATACAGTGTCATGACGTCAACTTGCCACATGGTTTTGAATTCGTCTGTCGGGTGTAACGATTGCATCCCAGGCAGTGAGACATGACAAAACGCTGTATTATCAATCACGGTGCTGCGTGCAGCCAGTTGAGAATATGCCGAGCTACCAAATACTCGGGTACGGTACCACAAGCTCGAGATCACCAAGATCACCTTAGTCCGAGCAGCATGCTTTACACCGGCGATCAGTGACTTACCCGACAGCTGTATTGCAGAGGTGATGCAACCTGAATGCGCCGACACCGTTTCGAAGGGTGTGCCGCTCATCGGGCAGATACTAGATGGTGCGCTGCACGGAACTTGACGGCCGGGTCGGTCCGATATAGCTTAATAGTGAGGAATCCAAGGGGAATGATTCAGATTTGCCTTTACCAACCTAATACGGTGTCATTGGATCATGGACATATTGTTTGTCATACCCAATTTGACAGCAAGGCTGAGACATGTCGGCGGCATTGGAGCAGTACGACAAGGGTTGGCGACATACGTACCACGAGTTGTGACAGACACCCCAACGGGCTACACGGCAGCCAGTCAGAGCCGCTTCCGCTGTCGGGTGGTTAGCAAAGCCCGAAAATCAACCAAGATTCCTCAGGTCTCAGTTGACGGGGTATCAACTAGCGTGCAGGAGGTCCACGGCTAATCCTCGGGGGGCTCAGCAGGGGTTAACCCCCGGTCAACTTTCTGAGACAATACACGAATAGTAGGTCACTATAACTAACTTTCTTCGTAGTAAGGTTTAGTCTTAGGTGTTAGACTAGCTATAGCATAGTAATATACTATAAAGACCTACTACTATACTCTGATAATTCTAAGTAATTAGAACCCCTATATAATATTAACACTACTAGTCTAAGCCTAGAAGGAACTTTTTATAGCTTTTATTATCATTATGTTAGTTTTTAACCCCAGATTTCTAAGCCCGTCTGTTTCCAAATCAGAACCAAACGGAAGGTGCAGGTTGCAGGATGGGCACGGGTTGGGGATGTTCCACCCCCGCATCCGTTCGGGGAAGGCGCGCTAAGCTTTCCCGTCCCCTTCTGATCCATGTTCCTGCCCTACCATTGACGGACGGGATTTATCAAATTGTCTGGCTTTGGATTTAGGACCTTATCTCCGGGTCGGCATTATCGGCAGCGCGAGCTTGATGCGCCCCGATTTCCCATCTGATGTCAGCAGCGACCCGGGCGATGTAACTCTTAGGCGAGTTGCATTTTGGATCTTTTCATCCCATTTCCGACATCCTGAAAATTTCTAGACCGATTCTCTTTTCTTGGTTTTGCTTGGCTTCAACAACCGACTTGACAGCGGGTTTCCGAGAGTTGTTTCAACAAACATATTCTCCAGCCAAGTACGAGCCGCAGCTGATCGCAATCGAGCCAAGAAAGAGAGGAACCAATCGACGGAATCAACAACATGGGGGGCGAAACGGAGAAGCAGAAACAAACACTATCGGATTCGAGCTCCGTGGTGGACTCGGTCGAAGTAGTGCGGGAAGAAAAGCAGAGCGTACAGGAAACACAGGGCCAGTCCAGATCGGATCATCGCGATGGCGGCTACGGCGCCCCGGATGTCGACCACGAAGAGGCCGAGGCGTCGGCACCGGGCCACGACCTCGATGTCGAACTGGCGCAGGTGAGTCACACACCGCCACACCCACTGACCGGCATCACCATCTCGGCTCACCACATCTTAAGGGCAATGAAAACCCAGAAATCAAGCGGACCAGCACCCGCGGCAGCGTCAAGTCAAAGTTATCCCGCGTCTTGTCGACCGTCTCGCGCAAGAAAACCCGTGAGCGCATTCCTTATGCACCCATCCCGACCTCCAACCTCGACGAGGGGATTGTCGGGTGGGAGTCCCAAGATGATCCCGACATGCCGCTCAACTTTGCCAAGCGGAAGAAGTGGCTGATCGTCGGCCTGCTGTCGGTCATCACACTCCTCACGCCGTTTGCCTCGTCCATCCTGGCCCCCGGAATAGGCACGGTGAACAACGAGTTCCACAACACCAACTCCATCGTCGGCACCATGACCGTTAGCATCTACCTGCTGGGCTATGTCGTGGGACCGCTATTTCTGGCGCCGCTGAGCGAGCTGTACGGGCGCCGGCCCGTGCTGAGCATTGCCAACTGGTTCTTCTGCCTGTGGCAGATCGGCTGCGCGTTGGCGCCCAACATTAGCGCGCTGATTGTGTTCAGGTTCTTCGCTGGCGTTGGAGGCTCGGGGGTCTTGGTGAGTCTACCCCGCCACCCGCTCCGGATGGCTATATCAGGGGTTGAGCTTCAACGTGGCTAACGGCGTGTAGACTCTTGGAGCTGGTGTCATCGCGGACGTCTTCAGGGCGGATGAGCGAGGGTTCGCCTTTGGCATTTACACGCTTGGACCGCTCCTTGGCCCCACGGCCGGCCCCATCATCGGCAGCTTCGTCTCCCAGTCGATTGGCTGGCGCTGGGACTTCTGGATCGTCTTCATCGTCGCCGTCGTGATCGTCGGCCTCACGGAAATCTTCAACTCCGAGACGAACCCCCGAATCCTGATGCAGCGTAAGGTCAAGCGTTTGCAGAAGGAGCTCAATCGCACCGACCTGCGCAGCTGCTACGAGACTCCGGAGGCGGGACAAAAGAGCGCGCGCCGCATGCTCGTCGACGGCCTGTTGCGGCCTACCAAGATGCTGTTCCTGTCACCGATCGTCTTCTTCGTGTCTCTGTACATCGCATTCACTTACGGCACGCTGTACCTCCTGTTCACCACCATCCCCGTCGTCTTCCAGCAGACCTACGGGTGGAGCCTGGGCATCACGGGGTTGGTCTACATCTGCCTGGGGCTGGGCAACCTGGCTGGGTGGGCCGTCATCACGTACACGTCGGACCGCGGCGTCGTCAAGCGCACCAAGGCCAACAATGGCGTCTTCGAGCCCGAGTTCCGCCTGCCGCTCAGCACTTACTTCAGCCTCTTCCTTCCGCCCACCTTCTTCTGGTACGGGTGGTCGGCATTCCACAAGACGCACTGGATCGTGCCCATTCTCGGGCTGTTCCCCTTCTCGTTCGGCATCATCGGCCTGTTCCTCCCGCTCACGACCTATCTCGTGGATTGCTACCCGATGTATGCCGCCTCGGCTATCGCGGCCAACACGGTGCTCAGGAGCCTGGCGGGCATGCTGCTGCCGCTGGCCGGGCCGGCCATGTACGAGAACCTGGGGCTCGGCTGGGGCAACTCGCTGCTGGGCTTCTTGTGTGTTGTCATGATCCCCGTGCCGCTGTTGCTGCAGCGGTATGGGAAGAGGCTGAGGAAGATGGGGCTACAGTTGTGAGTTATGAAAGGGAGGGAGGAATATTATACGAAGACGGATGGCGTAATCATCATACTATCATGTATTCTTGTTGTAATGAAGATGGGACTGCAGTTGTACAGTAACAAAAGGGGGATAGCTTATGAGCAGCAATGGGACATGGAGAATTGTTTAGTGTATTAAGATACCACGTGCTTTCTTTCTTTTTGGGGATGGGATACGGCATTGCAGATGCAAGGTAACAAACGGGCGCATGAGTCAATGGGACCAGAGGCGAAACTTCTTGCTTTGTTTTCAGTGACTACTAGTTAATTAGTATCCAGGTACATTTGGTATACTGCTCAACCTCCCCTTCCTGCCTCCTGATGCTCCAGCGCAAGGGTTACTCTCGCTAGAGAATATGTCTAGCAGAAGAAAGCATCTGGTCTGCAACCTAGGTAGAGTTGTGATAGACTTTTCCATGGATTATATCACGGTGCTGTCTGGAGAGCGGGTGCAGGGGGCGACAGAGGTTAGCAAGTTGCAGACCGTCAAGCGGCGGAGACTTTATGATGTGGAGGGATCTGTTCTTCTCGGGTGATGCGTTCTGCACGATGTCTCTGGCGGAAAAGAACACAAAAGGTCCATATCCATAATCCGCCCACTGGGTATTTGATCAGGATTGGGGGATAGCTACTGTAGAGTTCCTGGCAAGGCGAGTCTCGCTTCTCCAAGAACCCTAAGTCGTAAAATAGCGATTCAAGCTCATCAGGATCTTTTAGCAGCTTACTTATCATTGCCAAGCCTTCCAGAGACCGTCAAAGGGGTACCAGCACATACTCTATCGGACCTGTAAACTTCCGGAGATTCTCACGTAACCCATGAGTTACATCAGTGTAGGCCTTTTCTTCGCTGCACAAGAACAGCTGATACGGGCTTAGAATCCAGTCTGTTGTCACCATGCTAGGAAAGACAGGGTTAGTTTGTTTGTGAGAGTATGCGGGCAAAGGCCTTTGAGTCTTTTGTGCGTTGGCAAAAGATTTGGATGTACCAGCCAGTCCAAAATGATGGCTATGTGTCAGAGCGTTTGCCGGGAATGTTTGCAAAGAGCGTTTACAAAACTTGTTTGCAAGGAGTGGTGAGCACCGACACCAAGGACCTCTGCTGTGGAAAGCTCGTTCCAACTGCCAGTCCTACATATAAGCCTACTAGTACATCCGTTCCGCGCTTACCCTGGCCCTCATCATAACCAGCGCGGATACCTAGTCTCGAGATATTCAGGTACATTTTCATAATACAATGACACAAGCCCAGCCATGGCAACCCGCAGCGAGCCGGATCACTATAGCGACCTGCAGTATTCATGAACGGTTCGCCGGGACACGAGCACGATCTGCTGCCCAGGTTCGACTGGTTGGGTACGAGGTGTCTCCTCTACCTCCGTGATAAGCTATTCGTGCTAGAGATCCAAGTGAAAGGGAAGGACCTGAGAGTTGGGATCGGGTTTCCAACGACTCGATACAAAGACATCCATAGAGACCCGCAGGGGCAGATGATAATGGAGGACTTCCAGAGGACCCTTGACACCTACTGCAAGTTTTCGCACCCCCTTTCTCCCCACTTCCGTACCAACGCTACAGGGGCTAGCTGGTTACTGACCTGCAAACGATAGGCTTCTTCTCAAACGTACCCAGATAATGCAGCTCCCTTCCCCGAGCGCAGAGCAGTACAATTCGTTCAGCCAGTGGGCCAAAGACAATCTGTCTCCCGGTGATAGGCATATCCTGCCATTGCGCGCAAACGAGCTAGTCGCGCTCGGGGGACGAATCCCCAGCTCAGAGGGCCAAACCACAAATGGCTTTATGGAACACTCGGGGACTTCAGCTGGCTAATCCGCATTGCATCGTCGAAGTGAGTGCTAGCCTGAACCACCGGGTGGGCGCTGTGCCGGGCTGACAAGATTATCAGAAACAATTGGAACCTAGCTCGCGGCCACTCTTGTCTGAGATACAGCTCCCAAGGCCGATTCTGGCGAGCTGCTATCGTGGGTATTAGTGATTCCCGGGGCGAGATTAGGAGGCATGGGATGACACAGTGAGGCTGCAGTGGGAGCGAGCGGGAACACGAATACAGCGGCAAGTGTTGTGTTTACTATCTAGGTACCTCAGCGTTGTTCAACGTTAGGAAGAAAGTAGCACCACTGCAGACCAGTTGAGACGCATCAAACTTCCAAGCCCTCCTCTCAATCTCAATCCCAATCCCAACTCCTCCAACCCTTCCCTCACCTCCCCCACCAGAATTACCACTCTCACCACATTCCCCCCCAGGTCTTGAAATAATCAAACCATCTCCCACCTCAATGCCACAGCAGCCGCCACGACAGGCAACACACTCACCTGGCACCTCGCCCAACTCAGTAAACTGAGGTATGATCCTCACCCCCTCCACCTCCCCTCCCCTTAGACGGACAAACATGCCTGCGCCTAGCAGGACAGTAAACAACTTGTACACGAAGCTCCACCCAGAATTGAACACGACTCGCCGCACCGCCTTCCGGCTCAGGTCGAGAACGGTCAAGATGCTGCCCAGCTCGGGGCTTAGACTGTAGCAAGATGTTGTCGGCTGCTGATCGCGATTGCTTCTATATCCCGCCCCCCACTCCCATGGTCAGAGGAAAGAGGTGGTGGTGGAGGAGGAGGAGGAGGAGGAGGAGCCTGGAGGAGGAAGTGGAAGTGGGCACGGTTCAAATGATGGTCGTGCGTGCTACAACTCCCTCGGCGTTGGTTGAGGTACAGGAGTGCAGGAACCGCTCGTCCCCGGATATTTCTCTCGGCGCCATGAATGATGGACAGGGCCCAGGGGTATCGAAGCCTTCAAAGGGGCCGAGGCTCGAGACGGTTGATTCGGTGCCGGCAATGCTTATCAGGAACCATGAAGATTCTCCCGGGCATACATCGCCTATCTGAGGGTTTCAATCTCCCGGTCGCCTCAATCAAATGGCGAAGCAACCGCGTCGGTTTATCCGTGGAGCAACATTTTATGCTCGGCCAGCTGCTGTGTCCAAAAAGGAACGAATATCTATAGGGTTAGGGTCTGGGATTTTGGACAGTGCATTCTCGCTTTCGTGGCAGTTTGCACTGTCCCCGCCTTTGAACTTCATCCATCTTCGAGTTAACTTCAACAATGAGCCTACCTCGCCTCGCCGGCGTTCTCAACACCCCTCTTCCGAATCTTCGCCTATCAAAAAGTACAGCCCGACTAATTATTCCTTTGTCACATCCAGTTCAGCAGGCCGAGTGCTCATGCGACTAGTCGTGAACCGCATTGAGATTTGAGACATTGAAGTTGTTGATTCATCTCGCACAGGAAGCGTGATCTAGCTTCATTCTGACATCCATACCTCGCAACACAAGTACAGCAGCGTGATCGCATTTTCCAGGCTCTCACCATGGAGCGCGATCCGAATGCGACGGAAGATCTCCAAGGTTGGTTGCAACCATTTGTGTCTTTTTGATTCTAGCCTCATTAGATGTCAAACAATGTGGTTATCTTCCTCATCTCAATCACCGAGGAAGCTGTTGAATCCGGGGCTAACCCACCTCCAAAAGAGAGGAAAAACATCCTCACAGCCCAGATCATCGCCGTCTTCCGCGACCTGGTCCACCACGGCGCCGCCAGCGTCGACACCAGCGCCTCGACGGGACAGGCCGCCTACAATAGCATGGCGCTGGAGATCCTCATGAGCCAGATCGTATGTCCTCGCCTTCCCATCCCCCCCCCCCGTTTACCACCCCCTCAACGGTATTTCCCCTTCGGCAATCCCACCAGCCCCCACTAACATTCCCGGCATAAAAAAAGATAAGATCAACAGAAGACCTCCTCTCCCTAACGCGGCGCCTGCGCGAGCTGTGGACCGTCGGACCCCTCAAAGCCCCCGGCGCGCACGACGCCGAGGCCGAGCGGGGGATGCAGCGCGACGCCGAGCAGGTGTTTGCCATGCTCAACGCGCTGCGCGACCGGGAGCGGCAGCGCATGGTGCAGGCCATGCACGAGGGCGGGGCGGGGGCGGGGTTCATCTATCAGAAGAAGGAGATGATGACGATGCCAGGGATGGAAGGAAGGAGAATGGGGATGGGTGTGGGTGTGGACATGGTGGAGGCGGGGAATCCGGGGCCTCAACAACAAATGCCGTTTCTTCATCAACCTCACCTGCAGCAGCAGCAACAGCAGCAGCAGCAGCAGCAGCAGCAGCAGCAGTTCCCTCATACGCAGGCGATGATGGTGGACCAGAAAGGGTTGGCGGTGCAAGGTCAAGGCCAAGGTCGGGGGCAAGGGCCTCCTCCTTCAGGGGGGCAGCAGCCATAGCCTGTAGGGGTTTTGAAGACAGGCGGAATGGTATAGGAGGACTTCCTCCGACGATGCAGAATGGTCTCACATGGTTGGATACGTTAACGATGGCGGATGTTGGTCAAGTCAAGGGAACAGAAGCCGACCACCATATGCCGAGGATGTCTGGTCCTCAACTTTGAACCACGTTGACAAACATATCCTTCTACATTCTTCCCCCTTATGTGCCCACCTCCTCCACGCCATCCGCATCATCGCCCAGCTCGGCCTGCAACGCCTTGGGCACCTTCTCCGTCCTCGCCGACCGCTCATGCGACGCCTCAATCCCGCCGGCAGTGACCCACAGGAAGTAATCGGTGCGGAAGTTATCGACCTGGTTGAAGAACAAGTGGAATCTGTGCAGGGCGGTCCGTCAGCAAAACAATCCGTATCACAAACGCCGATCAGACCTACGAATTCTCCTTCTCCTCCAGCTCAAACATCCGCCTGTAGATGTGCTTGTCCTTGAACTCGGTGATCTTGTCCTCGTACTTGGCGAAGTCGATCGGCTCCTTGTCCAGCCCCGGCGCCCGCTTGTTGTACTCGGTGAACATGGGCCGCTCCAGCATCAGGCCCAGCCCGGGCGCCTTGGGGATGCTGATTCGCCTAGGTCCGTAGCTCTGGTGGATGAGGTCGAGCGGGGCGCCGCAGCGCACCACCATGACGGCCATGGCGACCATCTTGCGGATCTGATGCATCATGAAGGACTGCCCGTGCACCTTGAGCGAGAGCCACTCGGTGTCACCGATCTGGATCGGCGTCGGGTTGACTTGGAATGACTTGATATGCCGCTTCGCCGACGGGTCGCCGTGCGACTTCATGACGGTGTAGTTGTGGTAGTTCTTCGTGCCGAGGTAGCAGTTGAGCGCTTGTTGGAGCCTCTCGATGCGCGGCGGCGTGACGCGGTATCGTCGTTTGGCGGCGACATAGGCGGCTTTGAGCTCGCGGAGTGCCAGCTCCGCGGGGGTGAGCTCCCTTTCGGGTCTCGCTTCCTTGGCTGGGCTGTCCTGTTGTGACTCTGCAGTCCCCGGCTCTGCCGTCTCCTCAGCGTCCGACTTGTCCGCCGAGGGTTCACCCTGAGCGGGCTGCGCAACAACCCCCGCATCGGGCTGCGCCGGCATTCCCTCGTCATTTAGATCTTGATCCGCTGTGTCGTGGAGCTTCCGCAGCACTTCAGCCCGGACTTCGGAATCGAGCTTCTCAAGGATCGGTTGGATGTCATTCTTCTCCACCTCCTCCCAGAAGCCCTTCGTATCGTCCAAGCGGTCCATGTACTCGTCGTATACCCCCCTCTCCCTCGCAGACTCGGCAAGTTTCTTACCCAAGAAGCTGTGCGGCTGGGGCGGCAGTAGCGAGTAGCTGGGCATCAGGTACTCGTACCATCGCGAATCGCAAGCCTGGTAGCAGCTGAAGGCGTTGCTCGTGCGCTGGATGCCCCATATCCTGATCTGCTCCGGCAGGTGCTGGTTGATCTTCTCGACGATGTCCTCGTCCTCCACGATCAGCTTGAGCGACAGCACGTTGCCGGCCGCGTGCACGCCCTTGTCTGTCCTCGCACAGCGCACCAAGCTGGACTTCTTCGGGTCGTCGGCGTTCGCCTTGGAAATGGCGCCGGCGGCAACAAAGGCGGCGAAGATGTCGCCCTCGATGGTCTTCTCCTTGTGGTTGATCTGGATGCCGTGGTAGCCCGTCCCGGCGTACCCGATCAGCACGGCCACCTTGCGCTTCGGTCGGCGTTCCTCGGCGGCGATCTCTTCGGGGGTGAACGCTATGCTCATGTAACTACTCCCGTTGTTGTCTCCGTCGATCACGCGGCGGCGCTTGGCATTGCGGTTGTTCTGGACCTGCTCGCGCTTGTCGGCGACCTCGCCCCTGCGATCTCGTTAGTGTCGGCATATAGCGGCTACCACTCAAGGGGGGTTGCGACGGCATACTTCGCGCTCCCGAAGCCCGCATGTTGCTTGCGCTTTTTGGACTTGTCGTTTCCTCGGTCTTTGCCGCCCCGCTTCGGCCCGCGCCCATTGCTCCCATTATTCTCGCCAGCAGGCTCGCTTTTGGGTACGGCGTCTGGCGCCGCAGGAGGCGCGTTAACCACGCTGTGAGCAATCTCGTCGGCCGCCATGTTGACAATCGGTTCATCGACCTCATCGCATTCTGAATCTGCCTGGTGGACGACGAATTTTTGGCTGCAGCAAACTGCCGAAACTTAACGTTCGCGTGCGCCAGCCAATCATGGAAGTGGAGGTGGGGTTAGTGCGGGAACTTTAATTCTGTTGAACTCTGCATCAGCACTGCTCTATACCACCATGTCTTGAAGCAAACCCTTGGTACTACGATGAGTAGTCAACCTTCTATGATGGGAAGCGGCAACTGCAGTTTGGCTTACTACCGCCCTAGGGGACTTCACCATAAGCTGTTGGGCAGGCAAGCCGTCATCATTCGTCAAGGACGAGCAAACATGAACTTGCTAATAAGCTGCGAAGATGGCGTTCAGAAAAAGCAGCATGTAACATTATAGAGAGCTCTGACGTCCCTACATCGTCAGGGCTACTGTGTACAGTCCGGCGTGCCGCTGCAAAGGATAGACATCGGGTTGGATGGTCCCAGTCACCAGACCGGCCATCATTGAGGGTCTTCGAGACGGTGGATGCTGTCGCCCGAGTGTCTTGCCTCAACTCAGCTTCAGGGGAAAGGCGAGGTGCCTTTTGCAGCCCGATCAGTAGTACGGCGCAGGATGAGAACATCCACCGACGGCCATGGATTGAAGTCCTCTCAGAGCAAAATACCACTTGGGCAAACCGTCCGTATCCGGCTCTCCTTACCGGATTCTACCCTTGCGAGATCCGGGTCTGGCCTTGCCAGCATGCATAGGTACTTTAGGTTGACAAGGTAAGGCTCCGCCAGATCTCCCTGCATCTCGCCAAGCAGTTGTGCCGCTCCGAGACCCGGTATAGATCTCCCTTTCGGTGGCCTTTATAGTCTGTAAATGGCCAAATCTCTCGGCGCTTCGACTATTCGCCCGGTTACTGCCTCGGCTCTTGCCTGGTACCGCGTCCCTGGAAGGTTTCGCGGATCCATCTACTGTTTCAATGCCGCGGACTAAACGATTGGCTCGGGTCATACTGCTGGTTGTAGGTAAACATCGCTCCAGGATTCTCGGCAGGCCGGTCAATATCGCCGCCGGCTAAGTTCTTTCTTGGGTTACATCTTGCGTCGGAACTACCTCCGTACATTCCATCACCTTTCAAGGCAATTCCTCCTAGCTCATTGCACAGGGATTGTTTCGTCATCACGACCTTCTACTATGGACTTCGCGGCCAAAGTAAGTACTAGTACTAACCCTCTGTACTCGACTCCGTCACGCGGAAATCGCTCCCTTCTTTCCCAAGCGCACGGCTCTGTACCTTCTCTTCCCGGCCGGTCTCTTCCTCTGATCCTCGTATCATAATGCGTCTCTCACTCGCTCTCACTGCTACAGGCGCGGTCCTGGCTGCTGCTAATACTAGTAGTCCCCATGCCAAGAGAGCTGCCCTTGACGACTGCCTGCAATCGGCCAAGGTCCCAGTCAGCGCGCGCAACTCGGCCGAATGGAAGCAGGACGCCCGGCCTTTCAACCAGAGACTACCGTACACGCCTGCTGCCATCGCAGTTCCGACTACCGTGGAGCACATCCAAGCCGCGGTCTCCTGTGCCGCCAAGGTGGGCGTCAAGGTCAATGCAAAGTCTGGCGGCCATAGTTATGCGTCGTTCGGCCTGGGCGGCGAGGATGGCCATCTTGTGGTCGAGCTGGACCGCATGTACAACGTCACGCTCGACCCGCAGACGAACATCGCAACGGTCCAGCCAGGAGCCAGGCTCGGCCATATCGCCACGGTGCTGTACCGCGAGGGAAAGAGGGCGTTCAGTCATGGGACATGTCCTGGGTACGTTGGGCAGCCATTGAGCCTGAACTTCTTGAATTAGTGGCTGCTCTCAAGTCTAACACCACGTGCTTTTAAAAACAAACAGAGTGGGCGTGGGCGGACATTCGCTTCACGGTGGCTTCGGCTTCAGTTCACACACGCATGGGCTGGCCGTCGACTGGATCACCGGCGCAAGCGTAGTGCTTGCCAACGGCAGTCTTGTCACGGCTTCCGAGACGGAGAACGCGGACCTGTTCTGGGCCCTCCGCGGCGCCGGGTCCAACTTCGGCATCGTTGCGTCCTTCCGGTTCAAGACGTTCGCCGCGCCGGCAAACCTCACCTCGTACCAGATCAACCTTCCCTGGAGCACCTCCTCGGCCATCGTGAAAGGCTGGGGCGCCCTGCAGGACTGGCTGTTGAATGGCAGCATGCCCGAGGCGATGAACATGCGCATTCTCGGCAACGGCTACCAGACACAGCTGCAAGGCCTCTACCACGGCAACGCATCCGCTCTGAGGACAGCCGCTGCGCCGCTCCTTACCCTCCTGAACGCGACCCTTTCGAACGTCAGAGAGTATGATTGGATGGGAGCGTTCGGAGAGTACGCCTACTCCAACGACATTGACATAACGACGCCCTCGTACAGTGCGGTATGTCCTTGGCAACACCACCCCCTCACCCTTCCCACAGACTAGTAGTAGTAGTATTAGTACTAAACGACAGTCCCAAACCAGGCCGAGACTTTCTACTCCAAGAGCCTAGTCACCTCTGCCCTCCCGCCCACCGTACTCCAAAACGTAGCCGACTACTGGATCACGACGGCCAAGAAGGTCAGCCGCGCCTGGTACATCATCATCGACCTCTACGGCGGCCCGACCTCGGCCATCACGAAGGTCGGCCCCGGCGCCACCGCGTACGCATTCCGCGACCCGACGAAGCACCTCTTCCTGTACGAGCTGTACGACAGGAGCTTCGGGTCGTCCTACCCGGCCGACGGCTTCAGTTTTCTGGATGGCTGGGTGAAGGCCTTCACGCAGGGGCTGGACGCGACACAGTGGGGGATGTACATCAACTATGCGGACCCGCGCCTGAACCGCTCCGAGGCGCAGCAGGTGTACTACCGCCAGAACCTGGCGAGGCTGAGGAGGATCAAGCGGCTGGTGGACCCGGATCAGGTGTTTTATTACCCGCAGGCCGTGGAGCCGGCGGAAGCTTGAACGTGGCTGCATGGGTACCTAGGTACATACATACGGTACCTTAGAATTTCAGGCGGGCAAGGGGAAGGGTCTTGACGTTCGCTTTGCCGTGGTGGTAGTATCTGCGTGGAAACATGAGGTACTCGTCCTGATATGAGGGCGAAGTTCTGTATTCGACGTCACTGTGAAAGGTGCATGTCAAATAGACATCGGTGGATGGATATCGAAGCTTAGCCCATCCGCTTTGTGGAGGGCACATACAAATTGGAAGATAATAGGTCCTTCCTGTGGCGTGAAGGCGAGGACGGTGCGTCCCTTCCAGGCGCCGGGCAGAGATTCACCATGTCTATGGTTCGTTCTCAAGAGCTGGGAGAATGCAAGATGATCCGAGAACATTTTCGGCCCAGCGGCACCGGTACCAGCATGGGCTGATGGCAGATCCTGCAGATCGTAGCTAAGAATCGAAGAAATTCAAGCCCCTAGCTGGAAGAGAGAGGGAGAGCTGAACGTGTTTCTCGACGAAAATCTCTTGTGATCTTATGGCTTTTTATCAGACAATATCCAAGAGCTTCATCTTGTTGGTAGCTCACGATTTGCTCGGCTTGATCGTCGCTACCCGGCCGACGGAAAAAGAAAGCACACCGGCCCGGTAACCGGGTACGCTTTCCATGAAATCGCCATAATGCTTTCTAAAGGGTGCATCCTCGACGGCAAAATACACAGGTACTGCGCATCCGACGGTTGCAACATGCCTTCAGGAGGGTTTTGAACCCAAGGCCTCCGCCAGTGATATGATATATTTCTCGCCCATCACCGATGACCATTCCCGACTGCATACAAGGCCGTGTAGGTAAGTTCTGTATGTGAATGGTATCGTCACATGATCATCAGCATCATGCCACCAACGTGCCGCCAGTCTCACCTTGTTTGTCAACTGTGTACCCAATGTCTCAGTCGGAACTCGGATTCCATCCCGGCGCAGTTCTCGAGACTATTTTAGAAATTCAGAAAGGTCGAAAACAGCAGGGACACGCGCGCCACTTAACCTACCTCGCCCCTTATCGTGCCTTGCACTCTTCTTCGCAAGTTCTTGGTGTCATTCAAGACAAAATTGGCAAAATGAGGGAAGCAAACACGGCTTCTCTTTGTGGCGTACCGAGTCCCCGGGGCACGGTGAGCGCTTAGACAGCCGAGCCGCTAGCGGTCTGGGGCTGGCCGAATCCACGGACTCGAGTCTCGAAGTAGGCCCCTGACGTGCAAACTTTGCCCGGGCAGGGTAAGTGATCAGCTTCTTGAAGAATGGTATTGCCGACCAAAACTTGTGCTTCCGCGGGGTTCGTCCGGCATACGGAACGCCCATGATGATCCATCGTTAGAGAAGACATTGGGTGGCTTGAGCCAGTGACTAAGAAGGACTACTTCAGCCTTCAGGAGCCAGCCTGAGTGAGCCATGGATATAATCATATAATCGTCAGAGATGGTTCCGCTCTGACCTGAGGGCCTGAGCATTGCACTCCTTTCCTGCTCGCCCCTTTTACTCCTCAGTTTCCTCCTCCAGGTCCTCTCCGATGCGAATTCCACCAAGACTCAGCCCTACCAGTCAGACAACAGTGCATCCACCACCATGGTGAAAGATGCGGGATCTCGGCAGACAGCGCTTCGACGGGGGCAACGCTGGCAGTCATCGTCGTCTTCATCAGTCTGTCGCTGTACAACGTGATCGAGCTCAGCTTCATCATCCTGGCGACCTTCAAGCGGCGCAGCGGGCTATACTTCTGGAGCTTCGTCGTCGCGACGTGGGGGATTTGCGCCGTTCGAGATCGGCTTCCTCATCGAGTTCCTCCAGCTCGCCGTGCCCAGCGGGATCTACGCGACCATGGTCGTGGCCTGGTGGTGCTGCATGGTGACGGGGCAGTCGGTCGTGCTGTACTCGCGCCTGCACATCGTGCTGCGCAACCGGACCCAGCTGCGGCTCGTGCTGGGCCTGATCGTCGCCAACGCCGTCGTCTGCCACGTCCCCGTGGCGGTCCTGGCCTCCGGCGCCAACTCGCACAACCCGGAGCCCTTCGTCGTGCCCTACTCGGTCTACGAGAAAGTGCAGGTGACGCTCTTCTTTCTGCAGGAATGCGCCTTCTCGGGCTTGTACATCAAGGCGACGCTCGAGCTGATGCGGGTGCGGGCGCGGCCACGGCGGCGCGGCGCGATGGGCAAGGCAGGCACCTCGGAGACGCGCAGGCTGATGGCCCACATGATCCTCGTCAACGTCATCGTCGTGCTGCTGGACATCACCATCCTCGGGCTCGACTACGCCAACCTGTACGACCTCCAGACCAGCTACAAGGGCGTCGTATACGGCGTCAAGCACAAGCTGGAGTTCAGCATCCTGAACCGCCTGGTCGAGATGACCCAGCGGGCCTCCTCGTCGTCGTCGTCATCGTCGGCGGCTCACGACGGCTCCAACATCCGCACGCGCACCGACGCGGCCGGGATACAGATGGACGGCCTGGAGAAAAAAGAAAGACGGCGGAGGACCACGATGGCGGCGGCGGGGCACGGTGGCCTGGGCAACAACGTGTATGTGCGGTCGGAGTCGGGTGCAGGCGGGGTGGCGCATGACATGAAGTACCTGGATGCCGCCGTGGTTATGACCACGGAGGTCACCATCCACAGGGGCCGGCCGACGGTCGGACTCTGAGTCTGGGGGCGGAGGGGATCTAGAAAGCATCGGGGACAGGTCGGGCATAATCATGAACTTGTCGGAAGGGGCCTTCATTGGGCAACATAGCACAGCGTCCCACTCGTCCGATCGGTGTGTGGTTGAGGCACGGGGGTAGCCGGGGTTGGACTTGTGTGTAGGGAGGGCCGGGATGGTCGCCTCATGACGGCGACACAAAGAAAGGCTTAGATACCGCCCATTACTTTAGTAGTAGTAATTCTTAGTAATTCACATACGTGCGCTTGCCAGTCATAGCCTGTACAGAAGTGACGAAGGATTTGAGACCGAGAACCGCCGCTGCTCTCCACGGGTGAAACCCAAACACCAACGACAGTTAGGTATTGAGTGTTTTGTTCCATATAGCGTCTGCGTATTCCCAGGTACTTCGGTCTCATAACCAACAAAGTACTGAAACCCATTACCCTCTCAACTCCACGGATTCCCTCCCAGCTCCCTTCACGACCCTCTCCAACCTGCCCACCTCCCTCACCAGCCTCATCGGATGCATCACCAAGAACCCCCCCATCACAACCAACATAGGCAGCGCATCAAACACATAAATAAACACCTCATGACCCGCCACCACCCCGCCATCCGTCCCCTCTAGATACTCCGCCCCGCGCACGACGCTCCTAACCAGCAACATACCCGCCGCAATCTCCAACACAACAAGATACCCCAACCGATTATTAACTCCAACCCCACCCCCGGGGGATCAGCCATACCATTACTACCACTAGTACCACTAGCAATAACCCAGCTCAGCGACGACGACGACGACGATGACGATGACGGATCCTCCCTCCTCCTTTTCAGCAGCCGCACATGCAGCCGTGCGCACCCAACTCCGAGAAAGACACACAAGGCCACAACCTGCGCGACAAGCCCCACGACCACGACAATCTTGCTCAGGCGTGCCGCCTCGGGTGTGCCGCTGGCCGGCAGCACGGTGCCGATCAGCTGGGTGAAGATGGCGAGGACGTCGACGAGCACGTAGGCGCGCGTGGGCGAGCAGGTGCAGCAGAGGGAGTGGCAGCAGTTTCTTCTGTCACGGTGTTTGGAGGATTTCGTGACGGTGGTGGTGAGTCCGTGGTTGAGGAGGGCTGTGGCGATGCGCCCGTACGCCATGTACACTGTTGCGGCGAGCAGGGGCGGCGAGACGAGGAGGAGCATGTTCTGCAGGATCCAGGGGCCTAGCTTGGTGGGTGAGGAGTGGGCGGCGGCGCGTTCGAGGTAGCCGAAGACTTGGCCTGTGAGTTAATAAAGGATGCGATGATTAGAGATAGAGATTCTGTGGTTTATGTTTTGTTCCGTGGTGTGCGTCTTTTTTCCAGGAGAGAGGGGAGAGAGACTTACACACTCCACCCAGGATGAAGGGAATGAAGACCCAGGCTCGCAGCCAGAAGAAATACAGAACGTGACCCAGCGTGGCTAAGGCAAACAGAGCGAGGAAGACGTAAGCCGCGATGTTGCTCGGTCGGTATTCCCAGAATACCACCACCATCGTCCCGTTGACCACAGGGCCGAAGGGAGGGCCATCGTTGAGTGTGCTCATAGTAGGTTCAAAGGTCGGATCCTGCTAAACGAAGAAATAGTAGTTGGGGACGGCGAGATGGTAAAAGGAACGAATCTAATAAACACAGGGGATAAGAACTTAAGAAGGTTCGGCCAAAAGCTAAGGGAGAGGCGAGATCGATCTATAAGAGTTGTAAATGGCCGATACCATGGACGCGCATCTTCCTAGTTCGAAACGGCATCCGGCATGCAGGGAAGTATATGATCGATGAGGCTTGAGGGAGATCTCTCGATCTAATACTGCCGGTTTACATGCAACCCAAACAAGCCTAACATTGGACGCTGAATCCGAAAAATGCCAATTTTCGCATAGACCTCGTTGGGTAGGTGCAAGTCAGGGTTGCCCCTTGTTCCCCGGTGAGTCCCGTCCATTGCGGGGACGTCCAAACGCTCGGGATTACGAGTGCGCTCAGGGGCTGAGTTGAACCCGATTTTTCGCATTCAAAAGCGAATATTTGAACCTCAGGTCTGTCCTCCGTATCCGTGATAGGTGACGAGAAAGATGGTGGCAAAAAGGACGATCCGGCCTCACCGCAAATCTCGCACAGGCTGTGCAACTTGCAAACGTCGCAAAGTCAAGGTTTGGCGCATCGACTGCATCTTCCCTCTTCTACCCGCTTACCTACAATACATTGCTGATGATCTCCTTCAGTGCGATGAGAGAAAACCGTGCAGCAACTGCATCCGTTTCAGTCTTCCTTGCGATCTTGTCCCGGACGGCGCTCCTCTCCATTGTGCCCCAGTCCCAGTCCCAGCCGCAAGGCGCGGTCGGGGTCGACCGCGAAAGACTTGGACAGGTGAGATCCAGGCCCATGCCACGCAGCCACGATGTTTCCTTCTCAAGCCTCTGGTGTCACACGCGATGAAGGACTCAGCCGCCACAGTCCCCAGCTGAACCAACTAACCCGCGTCTACAACAGCATCAGTCTCCCCCGGCTCACCCACATCAGCGCCGCATCCAAGTACTACTAGTAGTAGTAGCCCATCGACATCAGGTTCACCAGCTACAAGCGCCGTCCCTCCGGCGCCGGTAATAGACCCCGACAATGCCGAGCTACTCATGCACTTCATCACCGTCGTAGCCGCGACCCTTGCCGCCGACGACAACAAAGACCCCGCCATGCGCGGCTTCTGGACACGGAACGCACCCCACGTCGGCCTGAGCCACAGCTTCGTGCTGCACCTCATCCTCGCCCTAGCAGCATTCCACCTGGCCCACCTGGCAGCAGCAGAGCACACGAGCGGAGCAAGTGACGAGAACCACGACGACGGAGCAGTGCTCGACGACATGGCCCGTTTCCTGCGCCGGAGTCGCGACGACTACCTGTGCCTCGCCCGGCGGCAGCTTACGGCAGGGCTGGCAGGCTTCACGGCCCAGCTATCGCACCCGGCGCCCGCTAACTGCGGCGCGCTGTATCTCGGCGCCGTGCTGACCAGCTACTGCACCTTTGCGGCTGGGCCGACGAGTCCTTCCGACCTGCTGGTCTGCACCGTTGACGAAAGGGATCCCAGCAGTGATGCCAGCATAAGCGGGCCTGCACAGGACAGACTGTCGTCGTCGAATGGATCTTCGATGCCGTTCGTATACGGCGTGCGGCTCATGAAACAGTCCTTCACTCCCGACGTGCTGTTCGCCGGTCCCATGGAGGTGCTTGGCCCGCGCCCAGTCCCGATGGAAGACACTTTGGGCGAGCCGGTGTGCGTGCGTGAGGCGTTCCCACGGCTGGATTGGGAGTCGGCCTTGGCCGGGCTCAGGGAACTCATCCTGACTGCCCGTCTTTCTCCTTCCTGTGATGATTCCGATCATTCCGATCATTCCGGCAGGGGTACGGACGTACTAGCAGTGGAAAAGGCGATCGACCAGCTCATCGAAATCTACGCCGCCATCTACGGGCGTCGACGCCGCACCGGCGGCGCAGGGAACGAAGAGGAGGAGTCGTTCGGCTACGACGGGCCGTCGGCGAACCAGTTCGTCTTTGGCTGGCTGTATTGCATGGATCTCGGCTTCGTGGGGTGCGTTAGGAGGCGCGACCCATACGCGCTTTTGGTGCTGGCCTACTACGCGGTGCTTCTGAACAGGGACGCCGTGCAGAGGGGGTGGTATGTGGAGGGCTGGAGGGAGCACATTCTCTCCAGGGTCTACTCCTTTCTTGTGGATGCCGGAGAGACGTTCAGCTCGTGCATGCGGTGGCCGATGGACCAGGTTGGGTTGGCGCTTTGATAGGAAGGGTCCGATTAGATCGAGTCTGAGAGTACAAGCATAGCACCTAGAGTCCTAGACGCCAGGAGTCGGATCAATACGAGTCAACCACAAGTCGCTTGCTGCTGCTGCTGCTGCTGCTGCTGCACTCAGGCTATCGGCGCTTCATTCCTGGGCCGGGGAAAGTGCCAAATTGAGCTTAAACCTTGACATCCTATTCATAAAGGGTCATCCGCTCAACGTCAACGCTATTGCCACAAGGAGTACCTTTGTGTAAACTTCGACAAGGGGCGGTTATTAGTGTCTCCTGATGATGCGCATCCCTGCGGCACGGCACGGTGTAGCATCGGCGACGTCGGGCGATTTCGGAAACCTCCATCATCGGCGGCTATGAGCGTCTGTATCCGTAGGCCCATGTAGCGCTGTACAATACGTACTAGAGAGTTCGTGGAAACGGAATGGCTGCTCAAGCGATTGACCCTCTACTATGACTGCTCGTTAGGTAAGGCTACCTACCTAATTTTTGCGGTTTTCAGAAACACGCATGTGTTGCCTAAGCGCTTGTGCTTGGATTGAGACATTCTCCGCGGCAACCATTCTCCGTCCATCCATGATCTGCGAAGTCGCAATACTAATATAAAGCTGCGCCGGTGGCTTGCACGCTGCGCTACCAATGACGAAACCTCGCGGGAATTTAAGTGGAAAGCGGCTGCTCTGCCGCCGCGGTCGGAGTCGATCCTGCCCGAATGGTTCTGTGTGACAGTGGCACAGAAGCTTGGCTGTGTGTCATGGGCAGACAGTCGCGGAGAAATGGGGGCGCAAAGCGACAGAGCCACTAGTTATAGGCCACTGATGATGGATGCAACACGAACACAAACCCTGAACCAGAAAATCTATTGTTCAAACTCCGAGAAGTTCGGTGTTTTCGAGCCATTCCTCAGAATGTACTGGGTTGAGTGGCTCCTTCCTTTTACTCGGTACTTTAGAGTTTAAAGGCCAGGGCCGGGCCGGTGGCCATTCGCGCACCTCACCCGAAAACCCGTGATGAAGAACGCGGAACGACACCCCGATTCTCTTGGCGAAGGATTTAGCGAATGTTTTACATTGTACGCCAAGACGTGAAGCCCCGAGCTTCGCGAATGGCGACGGCTCTTCATGTTACTCAAGGTTACATCGTGTCGAAGGCGCAGGTCGCCGAACCTTGCCGTGCCTTCCGGGTCTTATTTTGAATCTTTGATGCCCCTTGTTCCCGACACGCCGATCTCTCTGCGCGGCTCTTCATCTCTGCATCTTTACCCCGCTAATAAGCATCCACCATGAGTCCGTGAATTTTCACTGCTCTGGAATCCAGAGTCCTTTCACCGTCTCTCAGGACTCAGGAGAGTAACGGGAGGCCCAGGTCCTTTGGTAGCGCCGGTTGGTTTCTTGTAGCCAGCCTCCCGTTCTCGCGCTCCCTCCTCCAACTCGCTGCGAGCGGCTCGTTCCCTATCAAATTTTAAGTGTCAGGCTTCCAGTCTTGTCTCCTGCTCGGCGTGCTATGGCGTCGCTAAAGCTAAGCGCGCTGCGCTTATCGTGCGCTGCCATCTCGCCGCTGATCCTAACAATCCTCCTCCTTTCGATCTGCGCACCCGCCGTCGACGCTCAGGACAGCCTGCTCATCGACTGCTACCGCTGGGACGGGGCCGTGTCACCGAACAACACCAAGTGCCCGAACTCGAACGCCTGCTGCGGACCCAAGGCCACCTGTCTGTCGAACCGGCTCTGCGCCAACCCCGGTGACTCGCCGAATCTATGGATACGTGGGCCTTGCGCGGTGAAGGGCTGGGATGACGGCTGTGCGCAGATCTGCAAGTACAGTACGTATTGATGAGCAGTGGTCTCGAGACCTCGTGGTGCGTTTGTGACATCGTCTGACTCGACGTGTACTAGTAGAGGAGAAAGGGTTGTTCCCCCGAGTGGTGCCGTGCGCCGACGGCAGCCTCTGCTGCAACAATGATCCGCAATGCTGCCAGAATGGAAAGGGCATCTTCCTGGACGAGAGCGGGGAGGTAGCATCTGCCAAAGCGACGGCCGCCACTACCACCTACCCTGTCGTCAGCGGCGGCTTGTCCAGGACCACGTTGACCCCAAGCACCAGCACTACAAGCACCAGTACCACAACCACCTCGTCCTCCTCATCTTCCGACGCATCGACGACATCGACTACACTCTCCAACGCGGCGGCGACCACCGCTTCCTCAGCAACTCCTACACCCACACCGGAATCGACCTCAGACGACGACGACGCCAACACCGGCCTGAAAGTCGGTCTCGGCCTGGGCATCCCGCTGGCCGTCATCGTCGGGGCCCTCTTGGCATACCTTTTCTTCCGTAGGCGAGCCCGCCACGCCAGCAACGCCGTCGAAACAGCCACAGTCACAGCCACAGCCACAGCCGAGCCGCCCGTATACGAGCAAGGGATGGCCCAACAAGTCTACTACACGGGCGTGCCCAAGCAGCCCGGGTTCCACGGCACGGGCAACTCCCCGGTCGAGATCATGGGGAACATGGCGACCGAGTTGGACAGCAATGAGTACTCCCCCTCTACTAAGGGGAGCCATCCTTACTCGCCTTACTCGCCTCAGGGGAGCCACCAACCTTATTCGCCGGCGGGAAGCCAGCCTTATCCACCTCAGGGGAGGTATGAACTTAGTTAGGCTCATTAATGTTGAATATATGTCTCAACGGTGGTTGTGGTCATCTCTGCTGCATTGCTTCTTGTTTGCAATCGTGAGAGATAGTCTCAGGAATCGTCGATCCTGACAAGGCGCTTGCCACTCCTCCTCCAGGCCACCTTCTTCGCGGCGTCAGCGCCGACCACTGGGCTTGCGAGGCCACACGTATCCACTATATCGACACCCCCGCTCTTGTCCAATCCCCTTGCGTGGATGTAATGATGCGGCTTGCGAATGTTCGGGGTCGCCATCATGACGTGGGAGTCAGAGGTGACGTTCTGGTGGAGATACGCTTCGGCGTCTTTCAGATTCCGGAAAGCCTGGTGCTCGTTCCTGCTGAACCCGTCCACCTGCGGCCTCGCTTCCCTGTCCACGCATGATGCTGCAGTTAGTCTCCCCGGGATACCGCTGGCGGTTGCTGGTAGGGAACAGCTGCTCACTCCCAAGTTGTGAAGATGCCTGTAACTCGACCCCTCCTGACGGCATAGAACTTTGGGCTCATGTTTGGTGCGGGTACAGTAGTACCTATATCAGTCGGGTGGTCTGAGCTGTCAACGTCAATGAATTTGGCACGAGTGACCTACGACGAGCAGCCACAAAGTGAGGGGCTGTAGAGCGGCGAGGTTCTAAACGAGTGTTGTTCGCATGCTGATGAGGGAGCAGACCTCTCTAAATAATAGCCGAGAAGCCACAGCCATGCTAACATTCATCAACAATATCACAGTGCTAATTCGCTGTCTTGATGCAACCCGCTAGGCAGTAATGCGCTGAGGCCTGCCATTCCTGTTCCTTATTGACACAAGATCCGATGAGAGCTCGCCGTTTGCTCCAATCAGCTGCTAACGGTTGACCCAGTTGACCAGCAAGGACTTGTTTGCTCATTCCTTGATAGACTATTGGCCAGGAACTGCAGACGGTTGGCGGGAAGGCGTCTTTTGACATGCGGCCTGCTTCTCACGCCTCGCTTTGTGAACCGAATGAGTCGAAGTTGAGTCACAACTTGAACTTGAAAGCCGCAGCGCTTAATAAAATGCAGGATCCCCTCATCAATTAAACCTGTTCCTGCAGCCAACCGATCAGACCAGTACGCATACCGGCTCAATATGGCTGCCATGACAACGCTCAAAGGCGACAAGTTCGACCGTCAGCTTTTCGAATCGGTTTTAAAGCGTCGATTCTTCTTCACCGAGGCCTTTGAGATCTACCGGCTGTCCCCAAACTTCAAAGGCGACAACCGTGGCCTATTCGATTATGGGCCCCCAGGGTGCGCCTTGCAGGCCAACATCGTTGACGCCTGGAGGAAGCATTTCGTGCTGGAGGAGAACATGCTAGAACTCGATTGCACTGTCATAACACCCGAGCCAGTACTAAAGACGAGTGGGCACGTTGACAAGTTTGCGGACTGGATGTGCAAAGACCCCATCAAAGGCGACTACCTTCGGGCCGATCATCTTGTGGAGAATGTCCTCAGAGCGCGTCTTGCTCGGGGTACTCGCGGGCTCGTCAAGGATTCACCGAAGCTGGACGACGCGACTATCGATGAGTACAATGACATCCTAGCCAAGGTATAGTAATCGGTTTATTCTCTTTCATTATCCAAGGATGATGACCCAGACTCAATCCCCATCCAGATCGACAACTATGATGGCGACGGCCTTGCCGAGCTGATCAGATGCCATGACATCCGCAACCCCGAGAACAACAACCAAGTCCTGCCACCGACTCCCTTCAACTTGATGTTCAAGTCCACCATAGGCCCTAGTGCTGCTGCGCCAGTTTACCTCCGACCCGAGACGGCGCAGGGGCAGTTCCTGAATTTCAAGAAGCTGCTCGACTACAACCAAGGCTCCATGCCATTCGCGTCGGCCAGCATCGGAAAATGCTACCGCAACGAGATCTCCCCCCGAACCGGCCTTCTGCGCGTGCGAGAGTTCCTGCTCGCCGAGATCGAACACTACGTCGACCCCAACAAGAAGGAGCATCCACGGTTTCGGGAGGTTGCTGACATCATTCTGCCCCTACTCGACCGGGACACACAGCTCTCGGGCCAGACAACGTCGCAAACAATGACCATTGACGAGGCCGTCAAGTCCCGCATCATCGACAACGAAACACTCGGCTACTTCCTCGGAAGGATCATGCTGTTTCTCCTCCGGATCGGCATCGACCGATCCAAGATCCGGTTCAGACAACACCTGGCGAACGAGATAGCCCACTATGCAACCGACTGCTGGGATGCCGAGCTGCTCACAAGCTACGGTTGGATCGAGTGTGTTGGCTGCGCTGACAGGAGCGCATACGACTTGACGGTGCACTCCAAATACACCGGTACCGCCTTGGTCGTCAAGGAGGCTCTTCTGGAGCCTGTCAGGGTAGAAGGGTGGCAGGCTATCCTTGACAAGAAGATTGTTGGCCCGCGATTCAAGAAGGATGCGAAATTTATCCAGTCAGCTGTCGCTGCCTTGGATCAGGCCGCGTTGGAAAGGCTGGCTACTGAACTTAGCAAGCACGGGGCCGTGACAATCGACACCCCGGCCCTGTCCGATGGCACAACACGTGTCGAGCTAACTAAGGAGCTGCTATCCATCTCCAGGGTCGCTCACCTCCAAACGACCCGTGAATACATACCAAACGTGATTGAGCCATCCTTCGGCATCGGCCGCATCCTTTACGCCCTGCTGGAACACGTCTATTGGCATCGACCAGGTGATGCCGCAAGAGCGGTAGGTCCTCCCTTGTACTTATATTCCCGCCAGAATCTCCCTCTCACTAGCACTGACACATACGGCTTACGGCCTCTACTAGGTCCTGTCCCTACCCCTAGCCATAGCACCAACAAAAGTCCTAATCGCCCCGCTATCCTCCCACCCACAACTAAACCCCATTGCCCACAAGCTGTCCGCCAGGCTGCGGAAGCTCAACATCGCCAACGTCATCGACGCGTCCAGCGCGTCGATCGGCAAGCGGTACGCGAGAAATGATGAGCTGGGCACCCCGCTGGGCGTCACGATCGACTTTGGCTCGCTGGAGGACGGGTCGTTGACCTTGAGGGAGCGCGACTCCATGGTGCAGGTCAGGGGCGCGGAGGATGAGGTTGTCGTGGCGATTAAGGGGTTGGTGGAGGGGACTGAGACGTGGGAGCAGATTGTCGCGAGGATGGAGGGGTTTCGTGGTCGGGGTGAAGGGGAGGAGGAGAAGGAGAGGTTGTGAGATGGAGGAATGGTAACCGAAGTGCATTGCGGGCTGTGACGCTCTGAATACTACTAATAATACGAACGCTGGTGATCATTCCTGACACTCCGATTTCTGGTTTACCTACTCGAGGGGAGTTCCAAAAGCGTCCATCCAGTCTCTGTTACCACCATCTGAGTGGCACCCTTACCACGATACGAGTACTAGTAAGTACCCTGTTTACAGATCTCATCAACACCTCATTGCCAGCTCATTCCCGGTAACAGACCACCAGCATAGAGCATCCCACCTCTCCCATCAATTGCTACTACTACTACTGCTAATCTACGAGTTACACGCCAGGTTCCGTACAGCCGAGTCCTGCACCGTGGTCTTGGTATAGCCATAGCAGGCACAGAGCTTAATACTCAGTTGAGTCAGCACTCTATGATTTACCTTCCTAGTACTTCACGAGGCGTTATTTTGCATTGAATGATCACAGAGTTGTTATTCCCCTTTGCCAGGGGGAGACAAAGGCTGGCCAGCTGGGTCAATTCATGTAATTTCAGGGCTTAAACTTCTTAACTCAGATATTCGAACTGCATCTCACTATGATGAGGGAGCCTAAACGTCCGAGTGAACAAGGCTTTTGAATGCTTTATGTGCGGCTCGGTTATGTTTTCCTTGCTTTCTAGTAGCTATATGCATCTACTTCATGTTTCCGCCGTATTCCTATATTTTTACTCTACCAAGCAACTGCTCCACAGACGGCTGTTAAAAAAGGCAACCTGCCGCAAGCTGTAGCGGGAGACTTGGTGCTGAAGTATACCGTTGGATCACAAGGAGGAAGATTCGGACTCAAGGAGCCAGGCTTCTCTGCAGATATAGGGCTGCAGCCCAGGGACTCAGTCTCCGCTTTAAGCTCGCAATTCCTACACTGTGGGTCTCCCATCTTTCATGACTTAGGGTCACGTTCGGAACCTGAGACATGAATGGAAGAGGTATAAGTGAACGGTTTCCACTTTCCACCTCGCTTCGATACGTACATTGCGACTATCCGCCCTCTGATCGGATCCCGACTCAAAATCGAACCTGGTGAGGTGATGTAGGCTGTAGCCAACATGGAAGTCCACTGTCCACAACCGGACGATGATACTTATGGCTCCACCGAGAGATCAATATTTGGCGCGGACCGCGCTCGGAGGAACAGAAAGTGAAACAAAACATCGCCACCAGGTCGCCCAGAGATGATTCAGCATAATAGCGGAGCCGCATCCAACATCCGGCTCGGACAGCGGGCGCAGCGCTCGAGTGGGGTAAAGCCGTCAAGCGTTAGGCGGCGCTGCGGCACCGGTGGGGTCATCACCGACCACTCGGTCACTGCCGCGGTCATTCCAAGATAGTTCTGAATATAGTAACTGAGGTGTGAGTTCTGGGACTTGTCTGCCGCTGTTCCGCAACTGCCGAGTTGTCTCTAACGCCCCCCCTCGCCGCGGTCAAGGTGAAAGAAACCGTCAATGGCCCAGGAAGCAGGCCTGATGTCGGACTCCATGGTGGATTAGTGAGATGAGGGCATGAGGCCTCGATGGCAATGTGGGCTGCTGGGTATCGAGTCGGCGTTATATAAGTTGTCCTTAGATGTCCTCCCAGTAGCGGAAAGACAGTCAAATATCCCAACTTGAATCTACCAGTACATGACCAGACCTCGATTCCAACGTCACATTGAAAAAGACAAGACAATTTGACACTTGCGTTATTCCCCTAGCAGAACAACAAACATGGGTGACCTTCATGTCGTGGTAGCCATCTGCAAGAAGCGCCCCGGCGACGCGCGGCACTGGATCCTGATGCTCGCCGAGGACGACGCAGAGAACGCCACGTGGTACCACTCGGTAGACGGGCCGACGAAGGGCAAGCCGTACAAGCTCGACATCGCGGTGAAGCGATTCCGGAGCCAGGGCGTCGACAAGCACTACAAGATCGCGACGATCCCGGCCAAGGAGAAGAACAAGGTCAAGGCGGCCGCGCAGAACACGCCCGTCAAGTTCTGCCAGCGATGGGTCGTCGACGTGCTCGCCGTGCTCGAGAAGAAGTCGCTCGTGCCCCAGGGCACGGCACATACCTGGTACAACCAGATGGAGGTGGATCCGTACTCGGACGACGGAGCGCCGCGGCCGAAGGGGGAATCCTCTACGGCCCAGGGTCAGACAGCGGCCGCAGGGAAGGCCGCCGTATCCAACACCCCCGCTAAGCCGGCGGCGTCGTCGTCATCCTCGGCTGCCGCGAAGCCGTCGGCTGCTGCTTCGTCTTCCAAGAACAAGGTCGATTGGGTGTGGGATGAGAAGGCTAAGCGCTACCGGTACTGGGATGGGAAGAACTGGGTCTGGCAGAAGTGAACAGGTTCTCCCTCCCGGCCTGGGAGCACCTGGCAAGCCCCCTTGCACGGCCTCGTTGTGTCTGTTAGGACTACTGTAGGCGCAGATCTCCCGTGTTTTCCCCCGCAGATGGATTAGTTAGTTGTAGAGAAGAGAAAGAGGTACCCAAGCTCTCAAGACCGCTGTATTCATTCCGTCTCTCCCTTCCCGTGATCCAGGATGAGATTAGAAGATAGTGTAAGACGTATTCATAATCAGCGCCACCTCCTTCAGATACGGCTCCAGCACCTTATCCACGAGCCCGTCCCGAATCCACTCGCTATCCCACTCGGGCCGCCACAGCGCCTTGCAATACTCCCAGTACTCCGGGTAGAAGCCGGCAAACTCCCAATCCAGAATCGCCACGACGGTCGACCCCCTCACCAATATATTCCGCGCGGCAAAGTCGTTGTGCGTCAAAACAATCTCATGACCCCGCCCGACCTCGAACAGGATCTTGACCAGAAGCCGCCGGAACGGGTCCTCCTCGTGCCCTCCCTCCCCCGAGAGCCAGACGTTCGCCAAGGCCTGGTTGAACTCGGCCTCCGTCTTGAACGGGCCCCGCGAGGACTCGGGCGCGTTCTCCAGGAACTGGTCATCGCACGCCGACCCGTCCACGCTGCCGATGAAGTCCCCCTTGATCTGGCGCAGCTCCCGGAAATAGCCGCGCAGCTGCTGCAGGACGGACGCCTTCTCGTCCGGAGTGAGGGCCGGCCAGGCCTCGTCCAGCCGCTGGCCATCGACGTACTCCATCACGATGACGGTGACGCTGCCGGTGCCTCCTCCGGGCTGCGACTCCTTGTACACGTTGTATACCTCCGGCACGGGGATGCTGGTGTGCTGCCGGATGAAGCGCATGGTGTTGCCCTCGGTCTCACGGATGGTTGTGCCGGCCTTGACGACCGTCTTGCCGTCGGGTAGGAGACGCGCCAGACTGAAGTCGCTGAAGCGAGTTGCTCGCGAGAGCTCCTCCTCGGTTACTCTGCGGCCTTCTTGGTTGCTCATTTTTCGCTGCTCGAGGGGTTCAGTGGTTTGAGTTTTTTCTGTTACACTACCGGCTGCCCGATGTTGCATGATCAGTATGACTCTGGCTCGCGTTTAGGTTTTCCCCGAGACAGTGGGCTCCACGGTGTGCTCAGCCGCAGCTGCAACAGCGCGAGTGTTCATGGGATCTGCTGAGCCCAGCCGACTGCAGCCCAAGGTCAGCAGTCAACTGTAAGGTAATTTTAGAACTGCGCTGGCGTTTGACCTGATGACGAGAGTCGGAAGCTCCATACCTTAGCAACCGGCGGTTCGGCGCCCGTCCCGGGGTGTTTCACCAGTAATCGTTAGTGGGTCCTAGTGAGCCCGAATTCCACTCGTTAGCCTGTGAAGCTTCGCCTGCCTTTTTACGCCGCTTCCATCTCGCACCGCCCAAGTGGATCGAGTCTGAGACTGACCACATCCAACGGGTAGTGCTGTGGACCGTAATACCGGGCTACTAATTGACGGGCTTGATGATGAATCGCTCTCTCGATCGCTTTCAGGGAGGACCCGAACTGCTTAGGGTCTCAGTCTGCAGTGTTGCACTTTCCTCAGTTTCCTGCCCGCAACAATGGGCGAAGATCAGAACCGGCCTTCGTCGGCAACATTCATCGTCGAGCCGTCAACTCGCCACACACACAGCTTCATCCTGCTCCACGGCCTGGGCTCTAACGGAGAGAAATTCGGCAGAGAGCTCATCGAGAGCGGCGTTTGCTCCGACGGCAGGACGCTGCCTGAGATCTTCCCGGGAGCGAGATTCATCTTTCCGACGTCGAAGCGGCGTCGGTCCAGCGCATTCGGCCGAGCGATGTTGACGCAGTGGTTCGACATCGCGTCGCTGGATGATCCGTCCCATCGCAGCCACAAGCAAGTCAAGGGCCTCCAGGAGTCATCCCGAGAGATCCTCGACCTCGTCGACCAGGAATCTGCCAAGGTCCCGCGCGAGAACATCATCCTCGGCGGCATCAGCCAGGGCTGTGCCATGGGACTTGTCTGCCTGCTCGCCATGGAGTCTCCCGTTGGCCGCTTTGTCGGCATGAGCGGCTGGCTGCCATTCAGGCATGAGATTGATCCGATCATGGGGCTGGATGAGGATGAAAGTGAGAGCAATGAGCATGGCACCGACCAAGACGACGACGACATATTTGGCTGCGCGGATACTGACGACCCGTCCGCAACACCCTCAAAACCCAGCGGAGATGAGCAGAAGCCAGTCGTCAAGGTCCTAGCACGTGTTAGGGATCTGCTCTCTCTCGACAGCACAGAAAGTCCGTGCACAGACAAGTCGGCACTCACAACGCCCATCTTCCTCGGCCATGGGGAAGCGGACGAAAAGATCAGACACTCTCTCGGGGTCGGCGCACACCGGACATTGACGTCCCTGGGATTCCAAGCCTCGCTGAGGAGCTACAAGGGCTTGGGCCACTGGTACAAAATCCCGGACGAGATTGACGACATCGTGGCATTCATCCAGCATGGGGCCTCACTGCCAGCAGCTGGGGAATCCTGAGTCCCCGGGCGCAAACGTCCAGTCAGACTAGTACATGTACCAGTACTGGCGGAAATGAAAGACCCGAGGTCCTAGAATTTGAACTTAGGCGTGTTTACCATTCGGGTCTATGTCTATGTCTATATCCGGTATCCAAAGTTCACTCCCCACCCCACACATCCTACTTTCCCTTCTTGTTATCAATCTCGTCCAGTATGGCGGCCGCAGCGACCGTAGCACCGGGGGTTTTATTACACAGCGCCGCAAGCTCCTTGGCCTTCGTCCTCATCGACTGCGCGTTGGGACCGAACACCACATCCACGACGATCGGCCCGAGCTCTCGCGCCGTGCACTTGGGCGCAGATTTCCTGCTGCCGCAGCGGCCAATGCCGAGCACCTCGGCACGGCTCGCAAAGTCGTAGCAGTCCAGCCACGCGGGGAGCGGCACCTGGGGTACCCCAGAGCTATGAAAAAAGTCAGCAAAGCCCTCTGGCTGTCTGCTTGATCAGGTTCACATACGTCAAGGCGTCATTGAATGAATTCGCACCCCCGTGATTGACCGAGCATACGACCTGTCCCGTCTGGAGCACGGCCGAGGGCTGGGGCTTGACCCAGTCGACAATCCTTACGCGGTCCGAGTCGAGCGCGTCGCCCAAAATCCCATGGATCCTGCCCCCCTTTTCCGTCCCAAAGTCCTTCCCGACATACTGCTTCAGCGTCCCGTAATCCTGGTCCGTCTTGACCTTCTTCAGCTTCCACAGCACCTGCAGCCTCCCGCTTATACCACCCACACCCCCACCATTCTCCCTCTCGTCATCCGCATCCAGCAACTGCCTCACCACCGTTGCCATCTCCACCGCCTCCTCCTCATCCATAAACCGGTGCGTGCCCAGACTGATAAACACAGTCGGCCCCCGCCTCAACCACGCGTCCAGCTCCGGGTCGACCTCGGCCACGGAGGGCGCCGGGCGTATGACAGGCCCGCACGGGGTCAGGTGCTGGGGCACGACCATGGGGAACTCGATCTCGGGCCGGTTGGCGACCAGGATCTTCTGGCCCGGCAGGGGCCGCATCATCAGGTCCTCGAAGGTGATCAGGTCGGCGCCCGTCTCGCGCTTGACGTGCGCCGCCGTGGCCCGCCTGGCGGTGTCGGTGAGGGTATAGTAGATGATGCAGAGGCAGTAGAAGATGTTGGCTGGGATGTAGCGGGGGGGCACGGGGAAGGGGAAACCAGTGCTCATTCTGCATTTCTTTATGTAAGTACTGTCTCTCTCTCTCTCTCTTTTTTATTTTTTATTTTTTGTCTTTTCGGGAGGGTGGGAGTTAGAAGTTGGAAGACCACTAGTAGGAAAACTCACACTGGGAATTTCCACAGCAGCGCCCCCCACGGCTGCAGCGCCGCACCAAAATCCTTGAGCGTGTTCGGCGAGAGGATGACGTGCCTCAGCCCGCGGTGGCGGCAGGCCGTCAGGACGGGCGAGAAGAGCGAATCAATCACGACAATATCCGGCTGCACAGCGTCGACGATACGATTAAAGCTCTGGATCGCCTGCACCGTCTCGGCGCCGTCCCACGGCAGCAGCAGGCTCGGCAGCCGGCGGAACAGCTCGATGTTGTTGAAGAAGCCCGGCGGCTTGGTGATGAGCGCCCCGATCGGCACGCGGTTGCCCGTCTTTTCTCGGCCCTCGACCGCCTTCTCGAAGCTCGGCCCGTCTAGCTCGTGGAAGGTCCATGGCTGCGCGCCGCCGCCCTGGGAGCAGTGCACTGAGTATGCCGAGGCGGTGGCGACGTCTTTGGCGATTTGTTGGTAGGAAGCAAAGTGGATCCGCACGTCAGGGTCCAGTGCTTGCAGCGCGTGGCCGGCGGCGAGGAAGACGTTCGCCTGGCCGTATTCCGAGTTGGTGGCTAGTAGGACCTTCTTCATGGTGGCGGCGGAGCGGTGGTGTGCTGGGAGAGTGGAAGTGTGGTCCTGGACCTGAAGGGTGAGAGGAGAAGTCGACACAGCGGGGGCAGGCCTGCATGCGTGTTGAATACTCCTAGTAGTACCTATCAAAGCCGGCAATCCTGGGTATGGCATCTCTCGATAACGCTACCCCAGTGCATAGTGCATACGTGTACGCCATCTCTCGGATGCAACGTAATGATCCTACCTGGTAACCTTCCTTGCGAAGCCACACAACTGTCACATTTTTGCCGCGATCACTAGGGACAGTCCGGTGCAGGGCCCACCCACGCCCTGCAGAAGCGCTAGCCCCTGGAGACCCATTACAGGGTTTACGCGATGATGTGGCAGCCTAAAGCGAGGTACTAGGTAGGTACTAGTTTTGATCCAATACCGTGTCCAAGTCGCGCGCCCAGATGCGTGGCTGACTGATACATCACAACTGACGTGAGATTCTAAAATTGAAACGTCCAACGTTCAAGTTTATCTGTGGTGCCATTAATTGCCGTGATAGGTAAAAAGCATTGGCCCAGAATGTCAATTGGTTCAAACCTCGATTCGTGTATCGACTCGCGACTGCCATCTCGCACCATCCCATTTGCTACTACCTTACGGTCCTTACCTTCCTGCGGTACGTGAAGGTAGTCGCCATCAGTTATCGACATGACGACAAGGTCATGACGCGCCAAGGTCACGATGCGCCCAACTGCCCACGATGCCGTATCAAAAGGATTCGAAACAGCGAGATCATGTGAGCTCATAAGGTAACGAAGCTCCTGGGTTCGGGTGACGACCGCATGAGTCATTGCCAGGAGCAGAACAATGAGAAAGTCGTGTATTTCACGGACTATCAACATACGGTCAGTTTTCAATACACGGAGGCTCTCCAAAACCAGACTAGAGATTCTTTCGCTAGACACACACATTCAATGCCCGTCTCTCTTCAGCGTTGCCCCCAAGATGGGCACCTCCAACCCCTTCGCCTTGCCATCCGCTCCGGTCTCGAAGATCACCAGATCCGCCGGATAGTTCCCCCATCTCAGTCTGTCACCCTCAGCCCAAGACCCGCACCCGTCAACAGCAGCAGGCTTCCCTGCCAATCCAACCACTCCCCGAAACGCAGTCCTCGTCTTACCGCCACTGCTCTTTTTGGAGACCAAGCCCATCGGGTAAAGCCACATCCTCATTTCTCCGTCGCCAACGATATTGTTGGTGTTGGCCCTCAGCAGCGCCATCACATCGGTTCCGTTGCTGATAAGCTTGGACACGAACACGGCCGGCTCGTCTGGGTCAATGGACACCTCGGCCACCGAAAAGGTTGCTGTATCATTCTCTGGCCCGAGGGTGTAATTCCCAACCAGATCGGTTACAGCTTGGTCCCTTGCCGCTTGCTCCGCAGCAGGAAGCCAAATATCCACGAACAACTCTCGAATCGCGATCATAGTCGCACCCGACACCGGGCCGGCCGTGAGGATGGATACGCCCACGTCATGGTCTGGCGAGAGGCCCAGAAGGCTGGTGTAAGTGTCTCCGCCGCCTTGTTTGGTGTAGAAGTCGACGTTCCTGGTGGTTTTGGACGCCGGCCCAGCAGCGTCTGTCCTGACTGGCACGGACGCGCGGATGATTTCCCAGGGGCTGCCCATCGAGAAGCGTAGGCTGGATGTGTGGGTTATTGGTTTGAGCCATTGGCGAGTGTCGAGGGGCGAGAGGATGGTGGAGTTGAGGATGGAGCGGCCGATGGTTGTAAGGTCGTTAAGAGAGGAGTAGTAGCCGCCCATGCTGGAGTAAGTAGGTAGTAAATGGGAGGTTAGCGGGTAAATGAGAAAAGGCTTCCGCTCCAATTTTTACAACAAAACTTACGGAGCTTCCTCGCCAAAGTCGATGTCCCAGCCGTCCCACACAACAGCGTTGGTGTCATCGCTCGGTTGAGAAAGGTAGGTCCGACTGAGATTAAGGGGCTTCAGGAGCTGCTCGGTGACCAGGTCCGGAAACGGCATGCCAGTGATGTTCTCGACCGCGTAGGCAAGTATCTGGAAGGCCATATTGGAATAATTTGGCGTGCGGTAGGACAATGCCGACGGCCAAGTCTGCAGAATGTGCTTGAAGGCATCTGCTCTGGAGCAGGGCGCATGCGGAGGTGAGCCGCATCTGACGAACTCGTGGTCCTCGAGTTTGCGGAGGCCAGGAACCGAAGGAAGAACCGTGGAGGCATCGCCAAGAGCATCTGCGCTCATCATGTCAGCAGATGTGTGCAACTCAATCAAGTTGCCAATAAACGCTGTTTCGTACAGTCTCTGGAAATTCCGCTAATCTGGCCGGCCAGAGAACCAAGCGTGACTTCGGACCAGTCCACATCATTGACTACATCCCGTGCCGGGCTACCCGCAAGCTCGGGAACGTACTTAGTCACAGGTTCGTGCCAATACTTGTACGAGAGCTTCGCGAGCATCGCATAGACGGTTATGACCTTGGAGATGCTGTGAATGCGGAATACGGTGTCCGGGCCAACCGTGACCGAGACCGAGCTGTTCTGCGCCGGGGGCGTGTTGAAGTGACGGTAGATTGGGGTCGCATCTTTCGACTTGGAGGAGTAGACCTCGATGGCGAACCAGACTCTGTCCTGGTCGACTTCAGCACTAGAGGCGAGTGCCTCGTCGAACTTGGTTTTGGCCGCAACAAGCGCAGGGGAGGTCACATCGGTTGCTGCGGGATACGCTGGACCCAGCAAGGGGCAGTGTTGAGCATAAGAGAGAGTGCTGGCAAGCCCGACAACTATTAGGGCGGTCCTCAAGAAGAAAGGTCCCATGACTGAGACTGAAAGTGCCCGTTAGGACCTTGTGACACGGAAAAGAAAAGATGAGTTTAGCTCCTGCATGAGGATATGTCGTCGTATATTGTAGCTTCTGTTGTCAAAGGGCACCTAGCAGTCGGCAAGCGGACGAAGGATTTAGCCGAGCTCGTGTTGTACATGGATAGTTGGCACCACGCTCCCCACCACCTGTAGGAATCCCCGGGCCGGCCATGCACCTCACGCGTCCCGTCGTTAACCCATCCAATAGACATGCCTAAATTGCGCCCCGGGTCCCTAGTCCCGGGAGTCCGGGATGATCGACCCGGATCGGAGGAACCTGACATGCGATTAAAGACTTCCTACACGTGTAAGCAAGAACACTAGGAATAAGCGTTCTTTAGACTAGGTGCCATTGGGGGCTATCCAGGTTTTATGCCCCACATTGCTATAGAAGACACTAGGCTAGGGACAACGGGCCGTGAGAGGATCAGGGACGGGTCACAAACCTGAAAAAGATAGAGGAGGCTGGTGTCCCCCTGCTATAGCTACAACCGTAGGTAGCTAGGTATATCAATAGTCTAGGTGCAAGGAAAAAGCTGGACTTCCTCCAACGATCAATCACCGCTTGAGCGCGAGGTTATTACTTAGACTAACGTTGGTTTATACTAGTAGTATCCGCTAGAAATGGCCAAAGCAATCATACTATGATAGTAAGGGATGATCGGAACATTTAATTGTATGCCTGATGGACCGAGATGTAACCTCTTCCGAATCTCGACAGCTTATACCTACAGGGCCCACGTGACTGGGACCGGCGCTTGACAGGCTGCGCACACCACGCGCACCCTGTGCATCCTGTGCACACTCCGTTCACGCACTGTTCACGTCCTGCCGTAACCCAATGCACACCTGCTCTGCCCCAGCAAGAGAGGTCATTGTTGCAACTCTAACCGAGTCTTCTCAGGTAGCAGTCAAAAATAGCACCCCTGTTTATGAGTGAGTTATAAAATAGCTGTTTATCCTCTGCCCCGGTCTCGCCTTATCATTACCATCGTGCTCTTATAACTCTACCTAATCCTATTTTTCGCCCTATTAATACCCTATGTACAAGGCTACTTTACAACTACCATAACGAAACATGGTAACAGGCGAAGCGGGAAAGAAGATATAAGCAACAAGAAGCTAATTCGACGCGTACTATAGAACAGATTTATAGTAAATCTATCGAAGTATAACTCGAACCTAGTTTAGAGGAAGCTAAAGCCAAGCTACCAAAGAAGATACGATTGAACACTGTCATGAATTAACCTGCAGAGGCCGGTGGGGGCCAACCTGCATGCCCGCGGGCAGCGCCCGCACCCAATCATTACAGACCAGTAAGGGACCAATCAGGATCGAGGGTTAGGAACGTCGTTCAACATCAACGTTCCCAAGGAACGTGTCACGAACCAACCATATAGCAAGACCCGGTGGGGCGCAACGGAAGCAGACACAGCCAATCAGCAGGGGTGAAAGCTGCAGGCGGCCGTATAAGAACGACCCGGGCAGCTCAGGGTCGCCAGCGAGCGGAAGCGATCATGATAGACTTGGGTAGCCGTCCACCCAAGGCGATCGAGGATAGACCACGATAGCTGGCGAGCGGCGGCGAGCCAGCAGAATCAGCTAGGTATATAGTCATTCGTTCTGGGGGCTCTGGGAGTCCTCCAGTGAGCAATACAAGCAGTAAGGTAGCCCTACATTACTGTGCAGACATTGCGACTTGCATTGTTGTGAACCCTTTGGCTTCACCGAGACCTATAGTCCGACCAGCAGATACCTTCGACCGGCGAACCCTTTCAGAGGCAGGACTGCCTATGGTTTCGTCATACGTTGCTCACTCCCTTTGACTCTGTCACGGTTCAGATCGAAGGTATCACCGACCATCATAGCGCCTTAGTGTGACGAAACCACAGGCAGTCCTGCCTCTGAAAGGGTTCGCCGGTCGAAGGTATCTGCTGGTCGGACTGTAGGTCTCGGTAAAGCCAAAAGGTTCACAATAATGCTTGCCGCAATGTCTGCACAATAGGTAGAGGCTATTGCTTGTAATTGCTCACTGGAGAACTCCCAGAGTCCTCCAGAACGAGTGACTATATACTGGCTATCTTTGGGTGCTCTTATATGCTCTATAGAGCTCCCTAGAGCTCGGTGCTCTATTAACTCTATCGAGAGCTTCTATTTCCTCGCATTGATTGGCTTAGCTCCTGAAGCTCTCGTCTGCTCTCTAGAGCACCTTAGAGCTCCTTCTTATTGGTCCTAAATAATTGGTTCAGGTACGCCCTACGCCACCCGTTGGGTTGTCCCACCTATAGCTATCCTGTTGGCTTAATTCGTAATACGATGCCCCCTCTCCGAGGTCGACGCCTCGGCGACTTTGTTCTTCCCGTATTCTGAAATAGCGCCAATAGCCCTTAGCTATAAGTGTTTTTTCCTCCTATATCCTCCTATCCTTGCTAGTTATAGCTGACCATATGCGAAAGTGAAAAACTCAAGCTAGGTCGAGTACTTAGCGCCAGTCTCGCCTCGCTGATTTTACTATATCTTCTGGATTCCTAATACCTAAGTTTTCTTACTACTATAAGTATAGGCTTGATTGTTAGGTATTTGGCACCTCTAAATATTATGGTTCCTATAACTATATAAACCACCCGTCCTATAATATCTAGGGCATTGATCTAGGGATATATATATATTCTCCTACTCCGCTATGCCTAGCTATTTACAAGGCGCGCCGGACCCTCTACTGCTATGTACAAAGGAAAAACCGTACCGTTTAGGCCGGGTGAAAACCTTCATCAAAAATAATAGGAAAGACATGGTTCCAGTGATATACGCTGCTGCAAGTAAAGAAAAAGGCCTTGGGAAGGCCTTGGGCCAACGGCTAGTAGGGTGCTAGCCCAGCTAAGCCGTGGCCACGGGTGTGGCTAGCCGGGCTCCCTGGCTTCCAGTTCCTCATCGAGAATCCGAGCGAGCCTATATTCCCCCAGCCGGCCCGAGTCCATTAGCCAACCTAGTACCTTCTTCAGAAGTCTTCGGTTCCGGTAGCCTAGGCACTATAAAACAAGGCTAAGGTCCCGGTGGGTGCGTATTAGTTGCCTAGGCCAAGTTCTTGGTATAGGTGGTATAGGGCACCAAACCACTAGGTGCTCCACTGTCTCCCGGCCTTCCCCGCATTCGCAATAGGGGGTAGGCTGGTTACGGGCCTTTTGTTTAAAAAGAAAGTCCCGTAGGCCTATAGCCTCCGTACGGGCCTGTACTAGTAGGGAGCTCTTGGCCTTTGTAAGGCCTTGGTGTTTCCGTAGGCCTTGGTTTGTGAAGAGGACTGTTGGTAGGCCTTCGTCGGCTAGCCTAGTTGGCTGTCCCTAGACTTGGGTATTCCACCTAGCCTCTCAGGCTCTTAATAGTGCCCAGTCTTCCTGGGTCTTAGCCAATGGTGGGCCCAAGGCCTTAGCTTGGGTATTCTATTCAGCCACTGTAGCCGAGGCCTTTTCGGCATCTGTTGGCTTTCCTAGGCTCCAGGGCCGGCGCCGTAGCGACCGGAACCTTCGTTGGAGCCTGTTGCAGGCCCCTTGGATGATTTCCTTTGGTCGGCGCCTCGGGGCCTCTAGGCCTAGCCCGGCCTATAGAGTAGGCTTATTGAGCTGGTCTTCGAAGTCGGCCAGCCTCTTATTAAGATAAAGGTCTAGAGGAGGGATCCAAGTTTCTGTCTCGAGATTCCGTATAGGGGTAGCCTTATAGGCCCCGGCTACGATGCGTAGGCTTCGGTTCTAGGCCTTTGCTAGGTCCCTGGCTAGGCCTTGTGGTGAGCCGTTGAGTGTTGTAGGCTTGTGGAAGCTAGATGCCCTATAGGCTATTGCACTGCGAATGCACTTAGTGTAGACCTCTCTGGCCCTGATTAGCCCCAGGCCCTAGGTCTTGGCTGCTATCCTTGATAGAGCAAAGTCTTGGGTTCTTAGCTTGGTAGCTATACTAGCTCCGTGGGCCTTCCAAGAAAGCCTCCAGTCAAGCCAGACCCCTAGGAACCAGGCTGAAGCCGTTGGTTTGACTATAGTATAGTTATAAGGGTGGCCGGGTTTGGCTAGTTGTAGTGGTTCAGACCACTGTTTACGGCCTTTGTTGAAGTAGATCAGCTCTGACTTGGCCCCATTGAATTCCATTCCGTAGGATCTAGCCCACTATAGGCATATAGCCCAGGCTTGTTCCAGTTGCCGGCAGTTGATATAGGGGTCCCTTCCAAAGGCTAGGATGTTGGTGTCGTCTGCGAATCCCACTAAGCTGACTAGAGGGTGCTTTTCCTTTAGTACTTTATATAGCGAGGCTATATATAGTATAAAGAGGATTGGTGATAGTGGTGATCCTTGTGGCACTCCAGCTCGGATGTCGATTTCCGGGGCAAGTTGGCCGTCGAATAGGAGTGTGGCCTTCCGGCCCGTTAGCCACGACCGTAGCCAACCTATAAGCTATTGCGGGAGCCCGAGGTCTCGGACTGTAGCCAGTAACCGGGTATGATTTACCCGGTCGAAGGCCCCTGTGAGATCTAACTGCAATAGGGAAGCCGTAGCGCGTTGTCTCCAGGCCTCTTGGATCTGGGCTACTACAAGCCGAATGGCTAGGTCTGTTGACCTATATTCCCGGTTACCCATCTGCTCGTCGGGTAATAGGCCATAGGCTTCGGCTGCCTCTGTGATTCTTTTGGTAACCACTATTTCCACTACCTTGCCAATGGTAGGAAGGAGCGAAATAGGCCTATAGCCTCCGGAGGTAAGGTAGTCAGCTGGGGTTTTACCAGGCTTTGGGAGCACTATAGCTATAGCCTCCTTTAGCCTAGCCGGCACCCATTGTAGTTCGAGGTATCTCTGGGTGAGTAGTGCGAGGATCCTGTACAACGGCCTACCACAGGCCTTCAATAGGCCTATAGGGAGGTAGTCGTTACCTGGGGCCTTCCAGGGAGCAGCCCGGGCAATAGCATCTTGTATGTTCCTGGCACTAACCACCTGGCTTATTGGGATCTTCGGTTCCCACGGCTGAGAAAAGGTGGGATCTTGGATGTTGGAGAGGTCGGCTGGCAGGCTTGGAAAGAAACGGTTGGCCAGGGCCTAGGCCTTCTGGGTATGGGTGGTATAGCCGTTGATGGCCGGGAGCCTAGGGGGGCTAGTAGGCTGGAAGCTCTTGCAACGAGCCCACCATTCTAGGCTCCAAAGGAGTGATTCGTTATGCCTGGCTTCCTGTAGGGTAGACCTCCAGGTCCTTGTTCTAGCCTGTCGTATAGCCCTTGAAAGGTCCCGGAGTCTCTGGTTTAGCTGGGCCTTATTATAGGCCGTAGGTGCGGCTTTAGCCGTATGTTCGGCCTCCCGGACCCCCTGGACTTTTTGTTGCACCTCGTTCGTCCACCAGGGGGCTTAAAATCCATTGTTAGGCTTCCTTCGGGGGGTGCTAGCGTTGGCAATCCTTGTAAGTTCTTCGACAAGCCAGTCGAATGCCTTATCTAGGCCTTCTACTGACTGGATACGGCTCTGTAGGCCCTGCGGGCCAGGGTTATCTAGCCAACAGAGGCCTGGTAAGAGGGCTGCTTCGGCCTTTACCCTCTTTTTATCCATCTTTTTCCAGGACCAACCAGGGGGGGGTGGGGCTATAGGGGGGTGTTCGAGGTAGACCTCTACTACTTGGGGGTAGTGGTCAGAATCTCCCCTTTCCTTAATACCGTAGTAGGAGCAGGCAAGGTCCGTAGAGGCCCAGATTAGGTCGATAGTCGATGGGCGCCCCTGTTGCCTACCCTGTGGTACGAGTGACTATATACTGGCTATCTTGGGTGCTCTCATGTGCTCTATAGAGCTCCCTAGAGCTTGGTGCTCTGTTGGCTCCATCGAGAGCTTCCGTTCCTTCGTGCTGATTGGCTTAGTTCCCTGAGCTCTCGTCTGCTCTCTAGAGCACCTTAGAGCTCCTTCTTATTGGTCCTAAATGATTGGTTCGGGTGCGCCCTGCGCCACCCGTCGGGCTGTCCCACCTGCAGCTGTCCTGTTGGCTTAATTCGTGACATGATTTAAAGAAAGGACGTAATATCTCTAGACTATATATATTAAAGACAGACTCTATTAGGTAGTATAAGAGGAAATCTATCGATATTATAATATTAAGCAACTAGGCTTTTAATAAGATTATTAGTCACCTAGACTTTTCTATAGGCTATATAACTCTCTATAAGATTAAGAGCATTCTAGAACATAAATAGGCTAGTTAGATATAAAAGGCTATATTAAAAGACAAAGGAGAACTATGATAATAAGCTCTATAAGTAGTATCATCGTATTATTATAAATTTCTTAAGATATTTAGCAATGCGAGTTCTGATGCTATATCTCTATATAAAGGACTAACGTATCTTATAAGCGAGCCGGCCACTTTACCTGCGACGCGTTACTTCCGCGCTTAAAACCAGATTTTCTTTACAACCTAAGATGTCTTCTTCTTCGTACGAGGCTAGGATAAACCTAGCCCTCGAAGCGATACAAAAAGACCAAAAACTAAGCATAAGGGCTGCAGCGAAGTACTACGACGTTCGACGAACAACCTTGCAAGACCGACTAGCGGGCCGGCCTGCACGATGCGATACTACGCCCAACTCGCGCCGGCTTACCGATTCCGAAGAGAGGGCTCTTGTTCAGTATATAATTGAGCTATCTGAGCGAGCTTTTCCGCCGAGACTGCGTGGTATGGAAGATATAGCCAACCAACTGCTACGCGTACGTGATGCGCCCCCTGTCGGCAAGCTCTGGGCGTATAACTTTGTCAAACGCCAGCCAGAGCTCCGGACGCGTTATACGTATAGATATAACTACTAGAGGGCTAAGTGCGAGGATCCGAAGGTTATTGGCGAATGGTTTGCCCTTGTGCGGAATGTTAAGGCCAAGTACGGCATTGTAGATGATGATATCTACAACTTCGATGAGACTGGGTTTATGATGGGCATTATCTTCCCAGGTATGGTGGTTACAACCTCGGATGGCCGTGGCAAAGCGAAGCTAGCCTAGCCTAGTAACCGCGAATGGGCGACGGTGATCCAAGGCGTCAATGCCCTTGGCTGGGCTATCCCTCCGTTTATCATCTTAGCAGCATAGTTCTACCTCGCTAACTGGTATACTAAGTGTAACCTCCTAGCCGACTGGCGTATTACAACTACCGAGAATGGCTGGACTACCAATATGGTAGGCCTTGATTGGATCAAGCACTTCGACTACTATATAGCGCCTCGGACAAAGGGTAAATACCAGTTGTTGATCCTCGATGGCCACGAAAGCCACCACTCGACCGAGTTCGAGCTTTATTGCTAGTAGAACAACATTATTACGCTCTGCATGCCTCTATATTCCTCCTACCTCCTCTAGCCACTTGATATTGGCTGCTTTAGGCTGTTGAAGCAGGCGTACGGTCGCCAGATCGAGGACTTAGTACGTGCGTATATCAACTATATAAGCAAGCTCGAGTTCCTTTATACCTTTCGTATAGCCTTCTTTGCCTCTATCACCAAGAGGAATATATAGGGCGGTTTTACAGGGGCTGGCCTTGTGCCATACGATCTAAAGAGGGTGCTTTCGAAGCTAGATATCAAGCTTCGTATACTAATACCCCTAACCTCACGGCCGGGCACTGTATAATCTTGGGTCTTCCAGACACTATACAACCCTCGAGAAGCTGAGTCACAGTTAACGCTTATCAAGACTCGTATTGCCAACTATCAAAATAGCTCCCCGACTTCAATGTTGGCTGCTGTGGACCAGCTTACCAAGGGTACGATGGCTATAATGCACTAGGTGGCCCTCCTTTAGGCAGAGGTGTCTTCGCTCCGCAAGGCTAACGAGGCGCTAAGCAAGCGCCGGAGAGCCAAAAAAACACGTATGCGGCTTGGAGGATCACTTAGTGTGCAGGAGGCATAGGAGGTGGTAAGCTAGGGTGTGACGAAACCACAGGCAGTCCTGCCTCTGAAAGGGTTCGCCGGTCGAAGGTATCTGCTGGTCGGACTGTAGGTCTCGGTGAAGCCAAAAGGTTCACAACAATACAAGTCGCAATGTCTGCACAGTAACGTAGGGCTACCTTACTGTTTGTATTGCTCACTGGGGGACTCCCAGAGCCCTCCGTAACGAATGACTATATACTAGCTATTTTCCTGTGGACGCCCGCGCTCGCCGTCGTCCATGAGCGTCCATGGTCGCTGGCGCTCGCCAGCGTCCTCGGGCGTCCATTTTTGGTCGCTCTTGGACGCTGTCGTCCACAGGCGTCCATGTGGGGCATCCTGCTGCCTTGCGCTTCCTGATTGGTAACCCTGTCACCTGCATGGCCCCACCAGGTCAGGTTATATGGTTGGTTCGTAACACAGGGGGCTGTAGGTGGGGAGGAAATGCAAGAAATACAGCTGGATGGTAGTGGTGCTAGGGGGGGTCGTACGAAGGTTCGGTGCTGTGGTGTGTGCGGCAAGCCTGGCCATAATGCCCGCACTTGCCAAGAGGGTGCAGAAGGGTCTGATTCATCTGTTTCTGATGTAATTATTGTTAGTTCCTAGTGTTGTTGTTTTGTGATTGAGGATATTGTTGGTAGTATAGTGGAGAGTGGCCGGCTCGCTTATATGGCCGGCTCGCTTATAAGATACGTTAGCTGTTAATTACAATATCTAATTACTACCTAGAATAAAGCTATCTAACTTAGGGTATAGCTCTGTATATAAGCTCTCTATAGAAAAACTAGAAACGGCCTATAAATATATTATCAAGAACCTATAGAAGAGATTTATCAAGCCTAATAATATACGCTAGGCTACTTCAATCCTATTTACGTGAAAAAGAGATAGAAGCTTATAGTTCTATATAGACTACCAGAAGCTAAACGCTATTATAAAGAAGGATTAGTGTGACGACTAGATGCAATTGAACAGGGTCAAGCCGGCTATTGTTATCATTCTATTTTGTGAATCTAAGGTTGAGGAAAGGAAAGAGAAGTTCTGAGTCGGTGGCCCAGAACATTACACGAAGATATTCCTGATTTATGGGTCATGTGACCGGTGCTCCACAACAGCCGTCAATTAGGGAGGTCGTGGGTTCGACCCCCGCCTGGGGCGACACCTATACCGACCGTGACATATAACGTACTTAGTTCCTAAGCTTTCTTATAGGAACTAATAGCCTAGAAGCTGACCCCTATAAGGTAGATATAATATAGTAGTAGGTCGTACCTACTTGTGACGAAACCAGGCAGTCCTGCCTCTAAAAGGGTTCGCCGGTCGAAGGTAGCCTAGTCGGGCTGTAGGTCTCGGTGAAGCCAAAAGGTTCATAACAATGCAAGTTGCGATGTCTGCATAGTAGGTGAAGGCTACTGTTTGAATTGCTCGCTGAGAAAGCTAGCTATCCGAATGAGTGACAGAATAGTAGACTAAATACAGCTTCCTCCTCTAGGTGTCCCTGTACCTAGATCTCTAGAACATTTAGAACAATTGTTGTTCTCATTGTTCCATCTGGAACAACGTCCCTTGGCGTTGTTCCTTGGGAACAATCGTTCTTGGCATTGTTCCTGGTCTTCCCAATCCTTATTGGTCCTTCCTGGCCCATAATGTTTGGACGCGGGCGCTGCCCGCTGACCATGCAGGTTAGCCCCCACTGGCCTCTGCAGGTTAATTCATGTCATGAAGCCATGGTTCGTTGTAGAAGAATTCAAGCTTCAGGGTGGAGGATACGCGACGCGATGAAAGTGTTTCACTCACTTATCCGTTTCACTCGTTTATCTGTTTCACTCACTTATCATGTACGTTAGAGATCTTATCCCCTACAACAGCAGAGTGCAAACCCCAAAGTCGCGTATCATCAGGCCAACCATCGCCATGCCACCAATAGCCGCTGCCCCATATATTATAATCGCAGCTCTTCCAAAGTAGAATCTAGCAACGTCACGTCCTTGAGGAGCCTTGTCCAGGTTGTAAAAGAAGGGCGCAGTTATTATGCCCATAACTACCCAGGACAAGGTGAAGCCTCGTTGGAGGGAGGAGCTGTTCCCTGGTTGGAATCCGCTGAGGGCTCCTATAATTGCCAAAGGAATGCAGCCAACAATAACCGCTCCATACTCAATCATCACTCCATAATCAAGCAGTATGTTCATCCTGCCGTATTCGATGAGAAGCTTGTCATCGTCCAAGTCCGGACCGAAAGCGTGGATTGTTAGAACGGGAACGTTGATTGCGGAAGACGGGTGATGAGGACGTTTCGGGTTCTCGACCGCCTTAAAGAGCACCTCGGCCGCAAAGAACCCACCGCCATTAAACTCCGCATGCGACTCGGCTTGATCCATCAGGGGCGTGCGGACTAGGAAAATGGCGTTGTACTCTGGATTGAGAAGAGAGCCGATAATATTCATGAGGGACATGAAGGCGTATGGCGCTACCGTCAGGCCGAAAGCGGCGTATCCGAACTCCTGGATCTGGTCGCCTCTCGCGCGGTAGAGCGTGATGATGGCCCAGGCAGCTTGTATGAGGCTGATCAACATTTTGGGAAAGTTATACGACGAAGCAAGCGTATTGGAGCTCGCTTGATCTGGGGACTCAAGTTCACGGGCAGCCTTGAGTGGCACAAACGCCAGGGCGTAGCCGGCTGGCAGGCGGTACTGACCGTGAACGACAGCGTCGTCTGGAAGAAAGACAGGATGTGCAGGGTCCCACCACGGCCTACCAACAGTTATTAGTCCACGTCAAAAGGAACTGTGTTATGGGGTTGCAAGTCTAGACTCGCCTTTCTTCTAGCTTTTTGGCGCTGTCTTTGCGTGACGGCGTTAACGCCTTGACTTGAGCAATGTCTGCATCGGTAGCCGTGATTCCGACTCCAGCGGGACCGATCTTTTCGTTTGATTCCTTCGCCGTTGACACTAGCACTCCCCGGCGGCCTTCCTCCAGCGTCAGAGGATTCGGCCCCTGGGATGTTTCAGATCCAAGTCTGACAACCATGCACAAAGCGCCCGCGCGCAGAGCACGCCTAAGCGGATCGAACTCGAAGCTGGAGTGCCGTCGGATGGCTTCCATCGCGCGTACGATACCCAATCCAGGGAAGAGGAGTGCGGCAAGGATAACAAAGATCGTCTCTTTCCTACCCTGGCCTGGGTTCGTTATGACGGTGGCAGCATGGGCAAAGTAGTTGGAGAAGAAGAAGATGATGTAGTCGAACCAACTAGGAGGAGTGCACAGGAGGCGCGGATTGCCATGATTGCTTGACCCGTCGGGAACGGTTATCGTAAGGTTCAACATGATGGTGGCAGTCCTAGAGGGGAGGTAGCTTTTTGCAGTTCGGAGTCTGCGCTGGCTCTGGGCTAGGGTTAAGACAAATGAAGAGAATCACATTTCTGAGGGTCAGACTGCAGGGAAAAAAAATATAAGCTCAGCTCAATGGAGGCCACCTAGGAATCTCGAATACAACCATGCCGGGGACCCCGCCATCTCGCCGTCCCCGCTCGGCCTCGTCGCTCGCAAAGGGAATTCGGTCAGCCACCCAGGGCGTACAGATCAAGCCTGAAAATTGTTCCAACTTTACAACGTTCCCAGGGCACAGGAATTGCTCACACATCCATTCTTTCGTCTGTGCACCCGGTCAAGCCACTCAGCACGTCCTGCGTCGAGCTGAAAACCACTCCCACACTTTGATTCGACCAAATACGGTGGCCAGCTGCAAGGACGTCGCACCAAGTCCTCGTTTGGCTCGGTCGATGTGGGTGCCTTCTGCAACATGGATGGAAAAAAGTAAGTAATAAACGATTAGTGGAGTGCTCGGACCAGCTGGTCCACGCAGCAGTATTTATCTTGTTGCAAGACAATGCGCGGTTCCTAGTTGAGGCGGTCAACCAACGGGAGGATATATTGAATATAGTTATCAGCACAGATACCTCTAGTTATACTCCTTTTCCCATACAAAGAACGGTCCTTTCCGACGGCCAGCAACGAACCTCAGAACATCAAGCCTTTCGGCTTCCTTTTCTTCAAAGTATATTTGCTCAGGTCATCGGTCTTGTCCATTAGGACTCGTTTCTTCCACATTGGGTTGTTAACTGCCCAGGTCTCGTCAGAAAAAAGCACATCTTCCTAGTCTTCGGGTCGGGGCCGTAGCTGTAACTGTTCCTGGCACCACTGAATGCGACGGCGTAGATCTTCGTCGGTAAGGTGAATCTTCCTAGGCTGAATGAAAGAAGCCCACTGGAGGGTCATAGATTGCGCGTGTGAGAGCCTTTCACCGTAGCGTTGGAGTGGGGGAGTTACCGGGGCAGGGAGTTGGTATAATGGGATGTAGCAGTTATGGCCGTAACTGCTGTTGCTGCGGGGTTCGAATGGCCCCTTTCCTTGGCTTCTTTTTCTGGGGGGTTACTGGGCCTTTGCAAGCCCACTCGATTTACCGGATCATATATTGGGTCTTTGAAGCGATCTCCTGGTATATGTGGTGACGCGGTCGTTGCGGGTCATTTCAGGGGCCCTAGTCCGTTTGGGCCGTGGAGTAGCTGGAAGGATCAGCTCAGCGATGGAGAGCCCTCGAGAGGATGTCGGTCCCAGCACAGGAGTGCCAGTGGCCATTGCAGTGCAAGGTGCAGTGCAGTGCAAGATGCAGTGCAAGTGTAGAAGTCATGGCAGGATTTGTAGTGCAGGTATCTTCCTATAGAAATTGCTAGAAAAGTGACTTAGTAATGGAATACGTTGTGGCTTACTTGCCTTGGCCGACATCCTGGCATACACCTCCTCCAGCATATTACACGTTAGCGTGGTACTTGCCCCACCCACTATCCCATTTTCAGCATACAGTTACGTCAAAATCAGCATACAAGTCACTTTTCTAGTACTTTCCATAGAAAAGTGACCTCCTTCAAAATCGGTTCAGCCAGCCCACTAAAAATCCATAATCTTCGACTTACATGCGCATCAGGAACACCATGGACATCGACACTATTATCAACCACAACCAAGACCTACACAAGTCGCCCTGCGCAGAGCGTTTTTACCGACTACATGCAAATAAGGCCAACAACCGTACAAAACACTGGTTCCAACAGGCCACTAGGTCCCAGGACCTATCACGTGATAAGAAGGTAGGCACCTTGCCTACTAGATTACCTACCCACCTACCTATCTTACTAACTCTCTCTCTCTCTAATAGATTGAAATTCGAACCTTACACAAGCATGCCGGCTGGGACTATTCCACTATTGCGAAGGCTACGGGCACAACACAACGGCAAGTGCAGCTTGCCCTGCAGGGTCCTTTGACCCCAAGGAAAAAAGGAAGGGTTGGGCCCCGGCCTGTCGTCAAGTCCCCGCAAAAGAACGAACTGATCGAGTTCCTACGGTCCGATCCGCTGAACCGCAAGCTTCCTTGGGCTGATTTGCGGTACTATATTCCAGGTTTCGAGCTCTTCGGAGAGCGAGCTATCTCAACGGCACTCGAAGCCCTTGGATACAAACGGACGATTCGACCCCGTCGCATTCAGCTTACCGATAAACACAAAGCCGATCGCCTCGCCTTCGCATACGAACAGCTTTCATTACGCCCGTACCAAGAAGACTGGGAGAATGTCCTCTTCTCCGATGAAACGTGGGCGACCAACAATCCAATGTGGAAGCAATGGATCACAATTCACGACACGGAAGATCCAGAGACCTGGGCACTCATACGAACTAAGCCACACGGGTGGATGTTTTGGGGCTCATTCGCCGGCTGTCGCAAAGGACCTAGCTTCTTCTGGGAGAAGGAGTACGGTGGTATCACTGCAGAGAAGTATCAACGGTTCATCATCCCTTTGGTCCATACATTTTATATAGAGTTTGAAGACATGTGGTTCCAACAGGATAACGCAGCACCCCACGCAGCTCGCGTAACCAAGGCATTACTGACAGCACTTGGGATTGACTACATTGTATGGCCCGCACGGAGCCCAGACCTTAGCCCTATAGAAAATGTATGGTTCTGGATGAAGAATTGGATCGAGGAAAACTATGATATTCAGCGGTTAACCCGGGCTCCGCTTCGCCGGGCTATTCAGGAGGCTTGGGATACAGTGCCCATAGAATTCTTACGGCAACTAGCTCACTCAATGCCCCGACGGCTCAGACAGGTCATTGCAAATGAAGGAGGGAGAATTATGTACTAGGTACTCTGTATGCAGTAGAAAATTGTATGTGTATGGTGGTATCTTGACTCTCTCTTGACTCCTGCAGGGGTTTTGCCAGCTCTGGTTAGTCGGGTGGGGCAAGTACCACGCTAACGTGTAATATGCTGGAGGAGGTGTACATCCCGGCACTGACCCTGGCACATCCCGGGTCTTTCAGGTTTGTAACCCAGGTGGAGAAATACCTTTCCATCTCCACATCGTCCAAGGCTTGCTCTCTCTCACATGCTCTCCTTGTAATTGCTGCTATTGCTGGAGCTCACTCCGCGATCACCGCGGGACAAATTCTTCCCTATAGCGACGCTATATCTAGTAATGGTACATCTATTTCCAATTATCGCTCGCAGAGCTCGTCGCTAGAGTGCGTTTAGGCTCTATTGGCTGTCTCCAATCGTCGAGCAGCGTGCAGATGTGGAGTGAGTCGGTTCCGTATCACGATCGCTCGCTGGTCCCACGCAATCGCCCCTGCCCAGCCGCCATTGCTATCGGTACACGTTGCCCTCTTGCCACTTACGTGTTTCCCGCACCGTATTTAATTTATCGGGATGCACTGCAGGCAAAGAGACATGCAGCATACCCACCGGACCCCTCCGCTCGAGAATACCGAGTGGGCAACGGGTAGGGTCGTAGCAAATGGCTTATTTAGCAAGTCTAGCCAAGACTGCTAACCCCCAGCAGCCCCTAGTCGTCGAATGCGGAGTCCTGCCTAACCTCGACAGAGCGGCCTACTATTCTAGTTCCTGTAAGTTAGCACAGAGACAAATATAGGGGCGAGGTGCTAAGGCTCTTTCCTCCGAACCGGCAGTCCTAGTCTCTGAGGCACAGACTTCACTCTCGTGCGCATCGCCAGCCGCAAGCGGCCGGCGGGGCGGGGCGGTGTGGGTCGTCGCTGCGTAGCTATAGGGAATGTGCACAAATACCACCGGACCCACCCCAAACGTGAACATTTTCGCGAGAAATGTCATTTGGGCTAGTCTCAGGTGCTTAGACCAGCTGTATTCCCCGCCGGGGTTACAAAGCGCACAAACCAGGGCGTGAGCCAGGGTGCCTGCCAGGGTGTTGACAAGGGTAGGTAAGCCACTTCTAATTTCATCTTGCAAGTCACTTTTCTAACACTCATTCAGATAGCTAGCTTCCTCAGTAAGCAATTCAAGCAATAGCCTTTACCTATTGTGCAGACACTGCGGCAAGCATTATTATAAACCTTTTAGCTTTATGGAGACCTCCAGTCCGACCAGCAGATACCTTTGACCGGCGAACCCTTTCAGAGGCAGGACTGCCTGTAGTTTCGTCACACCGGCGCGGAATTTATTGTATATCTTACGGCCCGCTATAAGACCATGGACATAGCCGTAACGGCCAAGATCAAAGTTATATAACCTAATGCAGGCCAGCAAGTTCAGCAACTATATTGACTTTCTAATGGAATTTACTAATCTGGCAGACAAATGTGGACGGGATAACGCCGCTCGTGTTAGAGACTTTAGAGAGAAGATCAACGATAGCCTATACGCCATAGTAGCGGTCTAGATCGCCTAGCCCGCGCCAGACAGATGGAACGAGTGGGTTACTATAGTTAGCAAGCTAGCTGTTAACCTCGAGGGCAAGAAGCACCGAGGGAGGATGTATAACGGCAATAATAATAATAGGGCTGGGAATAATAATAACAAAGTATTAGGTGAACCGATGGATATCGATACTATAAGGATGAACAAAATATAGGTCCCTTGACAGGAATATAACCGTTGTATAGCCGAGAACCTATATTTTAACTGCGGCTGGTGCGGCCATATCGCTAAGAAATATAGGAACCTAACCAACTTAGGTTGCGGTAGCGGCGGCAACTCTGCTTGCAGCGGCTGGGGCGGCCGTCAGTATAGCTAGCAACGTGGCAGCAATAGCAGTTATAATAATGCCACTTGCGGCCAGGGCAACAGTGGCCATAGTCAATAGAATTACCAGCAGTTCGGCATTCCCAATAACTATAATTTCTAGCAGGATAACCAAAGCGGTTACTAATAGGCACAGCAGCTAAACCGCTATGGCCTAGCCTATAGCGGAGCAGGTGGACGGTAGTTCTGCTTTAACATAGTCAACATACCATAACCGGGCCGAGTCCTAAGCGAAGAAGGGTCCAATAACTATACTGATAACAGCTTGCAGGCTTACAGCTCGTAGCCGTATAACCAGCAGTCCTCCTATAGCTATAGCAATGACGGTAAGGCTTGTGAAGGTTCGGGAAAAGCCTAACCTCTATGCAAAGGCGCATGTAGGGGTTGTACTACTTGGGAGGATTAGAGGATAGGCTCGTTTTAAGTGCTTCGGGGCAGTTAGATAATCTATCACGTTATCCGCCTACCTAAGTGTAAGTAAGTGTATATTACTATGTATGGCTCTAGTCGATTCTGGATATACAGGCCTAGCGTTCTTGGACTTCGCTTTCGCCGTCAAGCACCGAATCTCTATGTTCTGGTTAGACTACCCGAAGCCGTTATATCTCGCCAACGGGGTACTATCGGCGTGGGTGGAATACGGCACATCGTTGTTACTAGCTATTAGGGACTATAGAGAGAAACTCGACCTCTATATTATGACTTTGGCAAAGGAGAATCCTGTCATCTTAGGCCTACTATAGCTTAGAAGGCATAATCCTAAAGTCGACTAGGTAGGGCTACACCTCACGTTCGGGCATAGATATTGGGGACGTTGCCTACTACCGGGTATATTATAGCAAGGAGCCCCTAATACCTGTGATTTGGAATGTAGAGAATAAGTACGCTGCTTCTATATCACTATCGAAGACGTTGAAGACGAGGGCGAGCTATAGGAATTACCGACCATAGTACCATAGGAGTAGGAGAGAGGTAACGCTATAGGACTATACAGTAGCGTCAAAGATGTCGAAGATAAGGGCGAGCCGTAGGAATTACCGACCAAGGCGCTGCAAGAGCAAGAGATCAGTAACGCTACAGGACTATATAGTAAACGCAACGACACAGAGCGCGCAAGGTAGGCACATCGGCGCCGTGGCCGCTATAAAAGAGTACGATTCGAAGAGCTACGAGAGAAAGCATTGAAGAACGGCCCGCATTAGACCATAGCACTATCAGAGGCGAGGGGAGTTATCATCCTAGGAGTTTCTGGCCCTAGCAAGCTATTACCGGCGGTACTAATACCGGCAGGCAGGCGGGGATCGCCTCGACACTACTCTGGTAACCAATCTGCGAGAAGCCTCTATATCGACTATAAGGAGCTCGATATAGAAGATATTAAATAGTATTCCTACTACTATAAGCATAGGCTCGATTATCAGGTATCTAGTACCTTTAAACATTATAGTTTCTATAACTATATAAATCGCCCGTCCTATAATATCTAGGGTATTAATCTAGGGACGTATAAGTTTATTTTTGCCGCTACCTACTATTAGTACTAATAATACTAGTTTGCTCCTTTATTTCTAAAAAGGATAAGGTTAAGCATAAGAAGGAGAAGATCTTAGCAAAGCTGCTTTGTCTCCGTAAGCAGAAGCGTGCCTTAGAGGAGAAGGTAAGGAAGGCAATATCCTGGGAACTTCGGGACATTTCGGACTTAGAGCGTAAGGAGCGCGAGGAACGTAAGAAGCGTATAGCTACTCCCGCACCTGCTTCGCCAACGCCTCTTGTGCCGGATCCTTTTGCGGGGTTTGACTGGTTGGATGCTCCTATAGACTTGGGTGCTGTTAGGGAAGGTCCTTCTTTCTTAGCCATATAGGGCTCTGGTGGAAGCCCTCCGGTTTCCCAAGGTAGTAGGAGTTTGTAGTGTGACGAAACCACAGGCAGTCCTGCCTCTGAAAGGGTTCGCCGGTCGAAGGTATCTGCTAGTTGGACTGTAGGTCTCGGTGAAGCCAAAAGGTTCATAACAATGCTTGCCGCAATGTCTGCACAATAGGTAGAGGCTATTGCTTGTAATTGCTCACTGGAGAACTCCCAGAGTCCTCCAGAACGAGTAACTACATACTGGCTATCTTTGGGTGCTCTCATATGCTCTATAGAGCTCCCTAGAGCTCGGTGCTCTATTGACTCCATCGAGAGCTTCTATTTCCTCGCGTTGATTGGCTTAGCTCCTGAAGCTCTCGTCTACTCTCTAGAGCACCTTAGAGCTCCTTTTTATTGGTCCTAAATGATTGGTTCGGGTACGCCCTACGCCACCCGTCGGGTTGTCCTACCTATAGCTGTCCTGTTGGCTTAATTCGTAATATAATGCCCCCTCTCTGAGGTCGACGCCTCGGCGACCTTGTTCTTCCCGCATTCTGAAATAGCGCCAATAGCCCTTAGCTATAAGTGCTTTTTCCTCCTGCATCCTCCTATCCTCGCCAGTCATAGCTGACCGTATACGAAAGCGAAAAACTCAAGCCGGGTCAAGTACTTAACGCCGGTCTCGCCTCGCCGATTTTACTATATCTTCTGGATTCCTAATGCCTAAGTGTTCTTACTACTATAAGCATAGGCTTGACTATTAGGTGTCTAGCACCTCTAAACGTTATAGTTCCTATAACTATATAAACTGCCTATTCTATAATGTCTAGGGCATCGATCTAGGGACGTATGAGTTGGTTTTTGCCGCTGCCTGCTATTAGTACTAATAGCACTTAGTTTACTCCTTTATTTCCGAGAAGGACAAGCTTAAGCGTAAAGAGGAGGAAATTTTAGCGAAGCTACTTCGTCTCTGTAAATAGAAGCATACTTTGGAGGAGAGGGTAAGGAAAGCGGTATCCTGGGAACTTCAGGATATCTTGGACTTGGAGCATAAGGAGCATAAGGAACGTAAGAAGCGCATAGCTACTCCCGCACCTGCTTCGCCAACGCCCCTCGTGCCGGATCCTTTCGTAGGGTTTGACTAGTTAGATGCTCCTATAGACTTGGGTGCTATCGGGGAAGGTCCTTCTTTCTTGGCCATATAGGGTTCTGGCGGTAGAAGCCCTCCAGTTCCCTAAGATAGTAGGAGTTCGTAGCTGGTGGTGGTCGGGTCTTGGTCGCGCCTGCCGTATATATCGTATTGTAGCGTGGCTGCCTATAGCCGCTCTTTCCTACCTGGGGTTCTTAATCTGATTCTTGTTACCTGTTTCCTAACAAATGAAATGGCTTAGTAGTATAGCTTGGTTATCATACCCGAGTAATTGCTCTAGGAGACCATAGGTTCGAATCCTATCTATGCTACTGCTGGCTGTAGTATGGGATGACGTCGTGCAAGTCGTCACCTAGAACACGGTCAGCTTTTGCGTTTTTCCTCCTTCCTGGGCGGTCTAGGTTCCTTCGGTGGAACTCTCTTAGCTTCTCCACGCAGCTGAGGTATTCTGCCGGTTCCTATGAGTTGTCTTCTAGTCCGAAGTCGAGCTATTTGATCAAGTACTCTAGCCTTCCGTTGGCTATTTGTAAATCCAAGATCTCCTTAATGTCCTATTCTTCTTCTTTATCCTTGACTTCGATGTCTTTTATAACCTATATATTCTTAGGTGCTGGTCCGAGGAGCGAGATATAGAAGACGTTAGTATATAACTTTATTGTTGATAGTAACGAAAGTTGATAGTTGGATATTAAAATTCTTGCGTCGATTTTGAATAGTCTAATCTTCCTAAAGTCGAGTTTCTAGCTTGGCCGTTTTATTTTTAGATTCTGAGAAATAAGGTAGACTATATCTCCTCTCTCAAGGCAAGGTCCCTCGAGCCGATGTTTATCGTAGTACTCCTTCATCCTAAGCCTAACGAACTCGAGTTCTTCCTTTAGTATTATATATAGCGCATGTATTTTCTCTGCCTTGACTTTTACCCTAGATACTATGACGTCTGGTCCCTAGGTAGTTAAGCCGTAGTCCTTCGAGCTTTTTTGAAAAGAATGTAACTAGGTGTAACTTCCTATATTCGTCGTGCTAACCAAGTTGTCCTCCGATTATATAGTCCAATACATCTGTTTCAACCTTAAATAGCTTCCGTAGGTCTAGTAACTAGAGCACTAGATCGGCAATAATCACATTACGGATCCTTTGAAACGCTTGTTCGTACTCGGCTTCCTATTAGAACTCAATGTCTTTCTTCGTAAGTTCGTATAATAGTCGTATAAGGTCGCCGAAGTTCCTGATGAACATTCGATAGAAATTGGCAAATCCAATGAATCCTCGTACCTCTATTATTATTATTAGTCGTGGCCACTTCTTGATCGCTTTAATCTTCGCTGGTTCCATCCTGATTCTACCAGGTGAAATTTCGTATCCAAGAAACACTATTTTTATAATATAGAATTCGCTCTTGTCCTTATTAAC